AGTGGGACCACTGCAACTGTTTGGCTCTCTTTCGCACGCACTGCGTCCAATGGCAGCGGCCATATACCCAGCGGGAATGTGAGAAGTTGGTTTTTGTGTTCTTGAAATCCTGTTCCTTTTTGCAGGCGGCGGTGTAGGGATAGATAATTTCTGAGTGCTAAATGAGGGTGGGTTTCTGAGTAGCATCAATATCAGGCCATTTATGCGCTGTGTGATTTCTGTGGCACTATGATTATAATATTTTTTAACAAAAAAATCACCAACTTATAATATTCAAAAATCCTATGATTTACACCAAAACCAAAAGACTTTTTCTCACATTTAGTTTTAATTTTTAGTAATTTTAAAAGTCGTAGAAAAAATATTAATAATTGTTAATCAAAAAAATTAAACTATATAACATTATTATCATAATGTCTATAATGATAATATTAATTTATTTTACTCAACATTTTTCAAATAATAATAAGGATGAATGTGGGATTCAACCAAATTATAGAGAAAAGCCACGGTAAGACGATTAAAATATTTGATCACATTTATCAAGGAATTACATTAAATTACAAAGAAAACTATTGTTGTTTTTTACATTTTTAAACATTTTCTGTGAAATAAAATAATTTGATCGTCAGATCGTGGCCTAAGCCATTTTTAAGTGTTGTTAAAATATAAAAATTCGTGTTGGTGGTATTGATAACACGAAAAATGCCTAATATACCTATAATATACGTAACCTTTAATGATTACGGTCCCTGAAAAGTATTGTTTAAATATTTATTCGGCGCCAAAGTGTGACCCAACTTTACAACGAAATTTACATCACATTTATCTGCATTTTGTATGGTATTATCAAGAATATAATGCAGGGTCACATCATTTTTAAATTTGTTGGAAAAAGTGAAAAAAAAGTGAAAATAGTTAATTTTAATCTAAAAAACAATAAAAAGGTGAGTGATAAAATGAATTTTGTCTTTTTATAACCCTTTTATCAGCGTTACAAAGGTTAGTATCACAGATATTTTCGCCATGAATAAATATACGCCTCCGGATGCTATCTTCAACACAAATTCTGCATTTCAGTGACACTTGAAATGTTTTTAATCTTTACCAGTGGTAAATGGTGTGAGGTGTTCATTAAATGGTTGTATAAATAGTACTTCAGTACTAACTTAGTTGTTTAACTTAATCAAAATATTACATTTATTTCAGCCAGGCCGACTGAGACTTCTTGGGACCAGAAGTGTTGCGCCTGCGTTTGTCATATTTTATTTGTTCTTCTCATAGTTTTTGATATAGATACCCGACATATAACAACTGAACAGAGGGTAAATGATCGGCCATGGCAAACCAGGCATAATTTCTGGAGAGATCCTTTAAATTTGTGCGGAGACCTAATAATGGTAATTACTCTTATTATTATTCCTGGTCTTACATTCATATCTAAATTATGTTTGAAATTTTCAGAAGACAGACAAGAAATGGATATCTAAGTACTGCATTCGGCCAAGCAAAACCCGGGAATGCTTCAGGCATTAAAAATTTGTAGTTCCAATGCTTCGATTGTAAATATTATTAATAAATACACAAACAAATATTACAAAAAACATGATTTTTATTGTGGAAAATCAGATACTGCAAAGCAGTGCAAAACCAAAACTGCGAGGGTCTGGAAAAACCAAAACTGGGAGGGTGTAGAAAAACAGATATTGCAAGTGGAGGAAAACCATAACTAGGTACGTGTGGAAAATCTATAATGCGGGAAGTCGAAAAACCAGTGGATTTTGTCCTGCATTCTTCTGCCAGAGATCCAGATAGAAACCTCATTTCCCCCTTACTTTTTGTGTCACCCCCGTGTATTTTGAAACCAGAGATGGAAGAAATGTAAGGGGTGAATGAGGTTTAGTGCCTTCCGCTTCTATGGAGAAACCTCTTGAAAATATGTTATTTTCCAGAGGAATTTTCCCGGTGGGTATGCAGGACACTCACACACTGGCAATCGCAATCCCGTGCACGCACACGCATGCACTCGCACGCACAAAGCGGAGAGAAAGAGCAGAAGGGAGAGAGAACGAGAGCGAGAGCCAAGTGCAAGCGCAAAAAACTGCAACTGCGCGAAAGAGAGGGCGCGAGGGTGGAAACGTGACGGAGCGATTCGTAGCACAGTTTTCCTTTTCCCCTTCGCTGTCGAACAGTTTTCTCGCCGCTCTCTCCCGCCTGTCGCCATCTCGCTCTGGCAGCGCTCGGGAAATTTGGTCTTCAATGACTTGCTGCACACGAAAACCGTGGCAGTTTTATTCAAGTTTGAGCGCTCGAATCTGCAACAACGTGCACGCAAAACTCTCAAAATTCCCTAAAAATATAAAAATCACAAGGCGAGCGAAAAACTCAAGGAAAAACGCTAAACGTGTCGCAGTTTCTTGGAAAATATCTAATATTTTTGGCAACATCGTGTTTTGTGCAAGTGTGTGTGGAGCAGAAAAGCAAGCGGCAACAACAAAAATATCAACTATAAAAACACTGTTCTGAGAATGTGAACAAATTTCCATTAATTTAAAACTCAAAAAAACTGAAAATTCAAACCAAATCAAGGAACCCTAAAAAACAGTGTGCGAAAAACCCTACAAGTGTCCCAATAATTAATTTGGCCACTTAGCACCAGCGATATTGTGCCCCACCTGCGGCATTTTCATTATTTTGTGGTAAGATTTTTATTAAATTAATTACCTACGAGTTAAATGTCAAATTGTTGTAACGGGAAGTTGTTTTTTTTGCATAGTTGGTTATAAAACACAAGTAAACCCTTTAAAACACTAAGGGCCGCTTTCTCGAGTCCCTGTCAAAGTCCCTGATAGCTATCTGTTCGAAAAACTTAAAGACCAGATAAACTGTTCGTAAAAGCAAATCCGCTTTCTCGACTGCTTTAATTTATCTGAACGAGAAACAATTACAGAGTGCTGTTAACGCACTGTAAAGTGCAAAAAATGGCATGCTTCGATTATTTCATCAGCTGTTTGGGTATAATTCAAAGGAAAAGTCAACTGTGATTTCGTTTCTTCTTCATAGTTGGCTTTGGGAAATCAGCTGTCATTCTATCGAGTCGAAAACGCTTAACAGGGACTCCGAGTCCCTGTCAAAGTTAGCTCTCACATTTATGCTCGAGAAAGCCAAAATGCCTTAGCAGGGACTTTATCTGTTCGAGAAATGTTAGCCGGCACTCGAGAAACCGGCCCTAAACAATTTTAATGTTTTAATTTATAAAGGTTTAAGTTTATAATACAGTAGCTTACCAAATTTACAAAAGTTTAAGTTTATAATACAGTAGTTCACGAAAACCATTTTATTACATTTTTTGTTTGTTAATTTCGCAACGTATAAGCCTGATACGTGTCCAAAAAATTGACACTACCAAAATAGAAACTGGAAACCCTAAGCCCGAAACCGGTTCCCAAGTGCATTCGTTTCAATGACGTTTGTGATAATTTTAATTAAGCGTTTTTTCACAAAATGGTGGCCACTGTTGGCGAGCTCTGTTAGCAGAAGTTGGCCAAAGCTTTCGAGCTTTCGATCTTTTGGCGATCGGGTCGTATGCGCAACGTGCGATCTCCGCGCATTCGAGGCGTTGAGGCATCGCCTTTATAGCATTATTATAACCACAGCTAATGCGCTTATTTCGAAATATCCGAAATCGCTTACCTGCTCTCGGCGTTGCGCAAATCGGGAGTGGGAACGGGATCGGGATTGGGATCTCTGCAGGTTGCCCATTATCCTGCCGGCGAGACAATGGCTAGACAACAATTGATGATCTCTTGCGCATTTTCCGCAGACAATAATGCGATCGTTTGTTTGCCGCCTTTGTCTGATTGTCCGCTTTTCTTTATTTTTTTGCCATATACCTTCTGCCTCGTTTTTTACGGGGCCTCGCCCCTTTGACATTTCCCTGTTGTTGTTTGATTGCCATTATCGTCTTGGGGACTGCGGATCCTGTTGGCAACATCGCTACCTGTTGGTAACTGGAGATTCACACACGACACATGGCCGCAATTTGGGATGCGAACTCCTTGGCGAATGGCCAACACATGACGCCAGGATCCCAGCATATGGCGTCCACTTGAGTCTGAAATTCGACCACAGCCCGAGTTAAAACTGAAGTCATGCCAAGGACAAGGGCATATGGCCCTGGCTTCCACCCCCGCTACCTCTTATTTTTGTACACAGAATGAATGAAAATTATTGCAAGTTTTTCAGCCACATTTTTCCCTTATTTTCCGTGCCTTCCCATTTCCATTTCCCGATTCCAGGCGGTGGTAAAAAAATGCCTGACATTGTACATATAGATTTGAATATGTATGCGTAAAAGTAAAACGCGCGAAAAGCAGCCGGAAAAATACGCGCACACATCTTTCGAGGGATGTTTGCATATTTTTTTCCCCCAATTTTCCTGCACGTTTTCCTCGCCACCACCCACTTTGCCCATTCCCTCCCCCCCATTTTACTTTCACTTTTTTACGGCGCATAAAACTTCGGGGGGGGGGGTGGTTGGGCGAATGGCATATAAATTGTACAAGCAAGATTTTCCGCCAAAAAGAGAAATGGAGGACTGGAGTGGAATGGATGGCCGCTCCATCCCCAATTTCGCACACCTGACTTCCTGGCTTCCGCTTCCCGCTTTGCCCATTTTCGTGTGTGTCTGTTTTCTGTTGATTTTAGCAACCCATGCGAAATTTGAAATTTGCCCCTATGTACAACTCTCCAACCCTCTGACACTTGCCAAAATCCGGTCTGGGAAAATTCGTATTAATTCGCATTTTCTCCAATCTTTTTTTCTCTTCCGGAAAACAGGCAACCAGGTGATCCGTAGGCCTTAAACTGGCGCTCAAGGTCAGGAAGCACTTATCCTTCTACTCGCCGACGCTGCTGAGCGCCGCCTTCACCAGCCTGAACGGTGTGTACAACCACAGCAGCGGCAACAGCAGCGATCCCGCTCCGGACGAGGAGCCCGACCATCCAGCGAGGGTGAGCCACCAGCACAGCCACAGGGATTCCGAGCAGGATCACCACAGGGAGCACAGGGAGCGCGAGGCGGATCGCGAGGAGATGGGCGGCCCAACGGCGCCAACGGTGGCCAGCAGCGGCGAGGTGGGTCAGACCTATTGCCTCCGCTGGAACAACCACCAGACGAACCTCGTCCAGATCCTGCACGCCCTGCACGAGGTGGGCAGCTATGTGGACTGCAGCCTGGTCGTCGACGACGAGCAGTTCCAGGCGCATCGCGTCGTCCTGGCGGCCAACTCGCCCTATTTCCAGCACATCCTCAAGGACGTGCCGCAGGACCACTGCAGCATCATCCTGCCGGGGGTGAAGGGCTTCGAGATTGCCGCCCTGCTGCAGTACATGTACACGGGCGAGACGACGGTGACCAAGAGCCAGGAGCCGGAGATCCTGCGCACCGCCAAGGAGCTGCAGGTGAAGGGTCTGTACGACAACCTGATGAAGTTCAACCACGCCAGCGTCACGCCCACCTCCAGTTCGGGAGCGAAGGCCCAGAACGGCTCGGCCTCCAATCACTCCTCGTCCGTGATCTCCACATCCACCCACATCTCGCCCAGTGCCGCCATCTCGAGCAGCTGCTCGCCACCACCGCCGCCGCAGTTTGGCTACCAGCCGGGCTATGGCCACTATCCTCCTCCGCAGCAGCAGCCGCTGTCGGAGAGGCAAATTCCGGCTCCCGGCGAGGCTCCCCTGACCCCCACCCAGGCCACGCCCCATTCGGCGCCCTCGGGGGCGGGCGAAGCGGGCGGCCAGTGGCCCCTCACACCCTCCGCCGCCGCCGCCATGCTGAACTCCGTCTACGAATCCGCCGCCGACATGAATCCCCTCAAGCGCAAGAAGCTGTCGGCCATCTCGAGCATGCTGCTCAGTGGCAACCGCGACACGCCCATCCTGAGAAACGTTCTGGCCCAGGCCAATCCCGCCGACTCCTCGCAACCCGGACCGCTGGCCATGAACGGCGAGAAGACGCCCACGCATCCGCACCAGAGCGGCCAGCTGCCAGCGGGATTAGGAGTGAGTGGCGGGGAGCGCAACCACAGCTTCAATGGGTCGGACTACGGCGGCGACAAGGAGCCGCTGTCGCCCTACACGGACCGTTCCTTCGAGGAGGAGAGCGGCCAGTCGGGCGGCAAGAAGCCGGAGTGGAAGCGCTACAAGCAGTACACGCGGGCGGACATGATGTGCGCCATCCAGGCGGTCAGGGAGGGCATGAGTGCCCTGCAGGCGAGCAGGAAGTACGGCCTGCCCAGTCGCACCCTGTACGACAAGGTGCGCAAGCTGAACATCACCACCGGACGGGGCACCCACCGCACCCCCAAGCGCAGCCCACCCGGGAGCGGAGTCCTCCCAGGGATTCCCCTACTCCGCCGCCGCCGCCGCTGCTGCCCATAACTACGGACACGGTCATGGTCATGGTCATCACTCGGAGTCGAAGCGCGATTCGAAGGTGGACCATGTGCCCGCCCACCACGGCATGCCGCCCACCATTCCACCCTCGGCGGCTGCCCTCCTGGACCACGCCTTCCTGCAGCAGGCGCTGGAGAACCGTGGTGGTGACATGGCAGGCCGAGAGGCTCTCCATGCCATGGCCCTGGCCGCAGCTGCCCATGCCGCGGCCAATCGGCTGTCGAGCAGCCCCGCGGAGATGGACCAGCGCTCCAATGGCCACGGCATGCGTTCGCCCAGTCCGCAGGGTCGTCACTACGACCAGGAGGCCATGGATCTGGAGATGGAGAAGCACGAGCAGAACATGATCAAGCGGGAACGCGACCAGGACGAGCGCGATGATGCCGACGACGAGGAGGATCAGGAGCAGGAGCATGTGGAGGATCTCTCGCTGGCCAGGAAGGAGCGCCCGCAGTCGCCCTACTCCCCGCAGCCGGCCGAGGGTGCCGGGGTGATCATGCACGCCAGCAGTGCGCCCGCCAATGGCAAGGAGCACGAGTACCCGGCCTCACCGCCCTTTGTGCCCATGGGCCTGAAGCGGGAGCTGCTCGATGCTGGCGAGGATGCCCAGGCTCGGGCCGACTGATTGACGCTCACCATGGCCTGGCAATATGCCACGGACAGCCTGGACTCCTTGGCGGAGTAGGGCTTAGGCGTAGATCCTTATTACCCAACCCATCCTTGTGTTACTTTCCTTACTTAGCAATCGGCGACTCAGGCGCCGAGCAGCGTTGGTGAAGCTTTAAACGAAGAGACCTCATCCCAGTCGTTGTGGGAATCATCCGCACCAGCAGCACCTGGCACCCATTCAAAAATCAAACCCACACACTAGAATAAATTGTTGTCAGCATCACGTTGTGCCTAAAAACAGAAATGTTAGGATATAGGTAGGTTAGGGAATAGGTTATAGACTACAGATACCCTAGGCTAGGCACACTCGAAGGCCATCTTTGGAAACCAGCTCAACCAACCCATTCAGATGATCCCTGCCAACTGACAAACTAAGATACGATGTATATGTAAACCCACTTACATGAGACTGAAGGCGGGATCGGATGGGGTTGCAATGGGCTTTATAAGGACAGAGCAGAAGAGGCTCCCATTGGAATCGGTTAGTACCACTTTGTTAAATGCCAGTGATTTGTTTTAAAAATTATTAGCACTAGATTATTTATAACGACCAGTATGTGGAACGCATGTACGTGGCCTTACGTTTATGATTTTCGAACTTGAACACAACTACCTCAAATAGCGTATCTTTGTTAGCCTCATGTTATCCTGTTAGCGAGATATATTATCGTCCTGGGTTGAATTTATAAGACTGACACCGACTCAAACGTATGTACCACGAGCAAGAGCACACGCATTAAAATAAAATAACGAAACTAAACTTAGATCGAGATCCTTAGTTTGATAGCTATAAGTTTCAGGCAAATTGATTAGTTCTAAGCCAGCAACTAAAACGTAAGCACTACACCTACACTATTTATAAGGCAATTAAAACGAAAACATGCGCTGGGGGCAATGCAATAGGCTCTTTAATTATAAACACCTACACTTATACAACTATATAGTCGTACGGTCGATAATGTTAAATTGTTATACGAGTAACTCTGTACATAGCATCATAGTTCACACAACACACGATCGAATTCTAGATCTAGCTTTAAGTATTCCGAATTGTAATGCAATTTAAATTATCCCTAAACACCCGACTTTCATCATGTAAAGATCAGCGAAAGAACGCGAAATAAACTGACTGAAGAATCAAATGGCAAATGTGTTTTCCTTTCGACAACGGCACAATATTTATTATAAAAAATACAAATTTGAATTTTACTAAGCTAGTGCTAGATAAAATGACCTACTCGTTAATATTGCAGATTCAGTGACATCCCACGCAGTTCGGATTTCGCTCGTCAAAATCGCAAATGCCAATGGCAAAACGAAAGGGTTTATGTTGGGGCAAGTGCATGGGCTGCATCGAGGGCACCGGTATCCTCGGAATATAAAACTCTCGCTCTTCGTACGTCTTGCAGATTGGAGGATAGTCCTCTTGCCGGGACCCATGGCAGTTGACGATTGAGAGCGAGCGGTCTATACTGATCAGGGGCTCATCGTTGGGACTGTGCCCTCGTTGTTTGCAATGGGCCAGCAGCTTGGCCTCGCTGAGAAACTCCAACCGGCAGAAGTTGCAGTGGTAGTTGATGCCCTTTTTGTGCAGCTGGAAGTGGCGGTCCAACAGGTGCTGCAGCTCGAACTCTTCGCGGCACTTGTGGCAGACATAGAGGCCACGGTTCTGGAGATGCATATGGTAGTCCAGGAAGACCCTGAAAGGAAGACGACAAATGGCTCTAGTTTAAGAAAAACTCGAACCTAAAGCTACCACCTACTTGCTCGTAAACACATCACCGCACTTGTGACAGTAGAACCAGCTCATCTTGTAGTGCTCCATGTAGTCGTGCTTCATTAGAGCCACCAGGGTATCCGTCTGGTAGCCACAGCCTGGGGTAAAACACGAGAAAGCTTTCAGTCGCACCTGCGTCTTGAGCAGATCAAGTAGGTATAGGTCTGTAAAAAGAGCAGGAATAAATCTAAAGAATGCTTACATAATAGTAACAAATCCCTACCGTACTCCTTGTCGGTGGTCATGTGCGTTTCCACCAGTCCATAGTCGCCGTACAGGAGAGATAGATTCCCGGCACTATTGCTATTGCTGCGACTGTGGTTCACGATCCAGTCGCCGGTGAAATTCATGCGTCGCGTGTACATGGCATCCTCTTGCTCATCCTCGCCCTCTTCCCGCTCATCCTCATCGCTTTCGACCTCTCCATCCTCTTCGGTTCTAGTATCCATATTGTACTTATCCCAGGCTTCCGAACAGGCCCGTGAGCGAGAGCGCAGGGAGCGAGCCCTTGGCGTCCGGGAAGACGGCACGGTTTGTCCAGACTCCTCCTGCTGCAGGGCGCTTAAGGCCTCCTGCTTGGCTTGGCAGATGGTGTGATGCATCTCCCACTCGTACTTGGTGTCCAGCTGGGCGTCGCACAGGTCGCAGGCGAACCGCTGCTGATGCTTCAGTCGCTCGTGCTGCCTTTTACTGACCGTCGATTCGAATTCCTCGTCACAATGTCGGCAGTAGTATTTTCTCGAGGAACGGGTGACTCCGGAAGATGCCTCTTCATCGTAGCTGGCCTCGTTCAGCACACGACACTTGGCGCGCGGTGGGCGGGGCTGCGACCGGCGTGTTTTAGTGCAGCGGCGCAGGTGCATGGCATAGTAATCCCGCCGGAAGTAAGCCCCTCCGCACTCGTGGCACTCCAGCCGCGTCCGCCACTTCCAACCCTCCGCATGCTTCTCCACCGGCTCCTTGGCCGAAGGAGAATAGGGCTGCTGAGCGAGGTAGACTTCCAGCACGGAGCAGGAGGAGCTGCGACCGCTCTGCCTTGTTTCGGCCACGTCCTCTTGGCTCTCGACCAAAGTGGTGGACACCTCCGCATCGGCAATGGGTGGACTGTGGTGGGCGGGCGAAGTAGTGGTCGTTGTCACGGTGGTGACGCCTCCGCCCGAACGCTGCAGCCGCTGCATGCGTTGCATCAGGGATCGAGTGACCTCCGAATGCATGTTCAACTTGCAAACGCACTCTACGCAAATGGCCTTCAAAGTGGATCGGATTACATCGGCCTGGAAGATTAGGGAAATTCCAGAGTTAGCTTGGACTCAAGGAGGCGATGGTAAGTGGATTACTCACCTGGATCTTCCAGTCGCGACTCAGGCGACGTTGCATCACATGGTTGGAGCGCAGATCCAAGAGAGCCGAGGCCTTGGCGGCGCCACAGATTGTGCAATTGGCGTCGTTGGCCTCCGCCTCCCGCTCCGCATCCACCGGGTGCTCATCCAGGTTCTGATCCTGGCGATTGCCATTCTCAACGGAGCAGTTGCCTTCGGTGCTGCTGGGTTCCGGATTTCCTGCCGGGGCTTCCCGCATTTTGCTGGGAATTGAGTGGCACCAAGGGGGAGAACAGCTCGAAAATGGGGATTCCGCCGGTTTCCCTCGATCTCAATCAGTTCCACTTGGTGCTCGTGTCATTATTGTTCCTAGTTTCTTTTGTTTGCCAAAGAACTACCCTCGAATTTTCCAATTAAAAAAGTTAAAATTTTGAACGCAAATATTCTTTTTAACAACGGACTGCAGTATGACCGTGGGAAGGGTTGGGAAAATATAACAAAAAACGCTTTGACGGTCTGGCAGCACTATACGGTGTACTTTATTTGGGGTATTACATAAACTTTTGAATTTATGAACCGTTAAAACCGTTAGCAAAATTATTATTTTTTTTTTTATTTTATAAATTTTTAGAACTGCAAAAAAAATTTTGAATTTTAGAAAACTTTACCATTTGGGTACTGCCCATTTCAGAATTTGCCTTTTCATTTATTTAAACCAACTACCATAGAAAGGTAATGAGGTACCACCTACATCAGCATTGATTATAAAATATAGGGATTTATTTTAATCATTAATTTATTGTTTTACTTTTTCCAAGGGCAATCAGAGGGTTAAGCATTGTTAGGACCAATGCCATTGGCCCTACTCTATTTCGGCTTTTCTCTTGTGCAACGAAATAGACGCTCTGAGTTTTCTTCTCTAGTTCCCAGTCTTTCCCAATATTCCCACATCTGTCGCGCCAACATATTTCGAAAACATTTTCGAAAACGCTCGCGTGCAGTGCTCAGAATATCTTTTTTTAAACCCCAACCGAGAGCAGTTGGCAACGGGCGGTCGTGTTCTTCGGTTGTGTGAAAGAAGCATCCGTAGATTTTGAAAAAAGTGCAGCGGTATAAATACATACATTCGCTTATGTATGTAGGAAGCCAGGGCACTTAAGGGTTTTGGCGAGAGTGCGTGCAGACAAAGTGCGTTTCGCTGGAAGAATTCTACACTAATTTTCGCTGGCAAAAATTGCCCCACTATTGCCGAGGTTTTTATATAAGAGGCAAGCGGGCATTATTTTTAATTTAGCTGTTGATATTATGCATAAAGCGAAGAGAGAAAGCAAATATCAAAACAGAATAGAATCGGCGAAGCCGGGAGAGTGCCGAGAAGAATTCTACGGCCTGGTTCTAAAAATCTTTTTCTTCAAATTCCGTTCGTGTGTGTACGTGTCAAAATATTTATATGTGCACACGCTCGGCGGATTATTTGTTTGGTGAATTTCCACCAGCCGCCCTGCAGCAGAAGTCCCGTATTCCCGTTAACCAGGAAGCGAAAATACAAATCCCAGTTCGGCCGATCGATTCATCTCTTAATTTACTTTGGCTGCGTGCAGGAACAGCAACAAAAGATACATAAATTGAGATACTAGCGCGTATAAAATAAAGGAATCCAACAGATATAGAAATGTTTTCCTTTGGTGTTTCTGTTGCTGCTGCTGTCGCTATAAATATTTACAACGCCCGCCTTGTATACAAAGTGTAAATATGTAGATACAATCTGGTAGATACATTCGCGTACATAAACTGTTTCAATTGTTTTATTGGCCAGCTCATGGACAAAGCTGTGCCGAATCGAGAGTGAATCAAGTCATATGAACTGACCAGTAAACAAACTTGAGTTTGAAGTACATTTGCGAATCGAAAAGCTCCTATGTAAACAGCCAAAATGTCGAAGAAGCCACGTGGACACATTCACAAGATCCGAGAGTTCGAATTGGAGAAGGTGAGTGGTCATCCGTCCGAACTAGGATACAATATATCCGAATGTAAACGATTGACGCATTTATTTCCGCACATATTTGTCGCGATATTATTTTATGTTTTATCCCGCTATAAACAAATAGATATAGAAAGGTATTAAGAGTTCGACTTGGCCCAGTCGCGTCTTGATCGGTATGATGGGCAATCTGCCAATAATCTCTTCCCCGGGAAATCGTCTACAATACAACGGGGAAAATGCCATGTTAACGATTAGATCTCTGATCATTAAACACAAACAGCAATGGGCAGCGTCTCGGTCGCGAATACAGTAATGTTTAATAGGTCTAGGTAACGCATATTATATACACACATATCTCTCGGTGCATTTCTACACTTGATTGTTCAAATAAACACAGTTGAGGTGGGTCTTTAACGAGGCGTTACAATTTACATAAAGCTCTCTTTGATTTTTCGGCATGGGAAGCCAAATGAAAATTAGTCAAATTAGTCATTAATAAAATCCGTTTTACAGCCTAAATAAGCCCAAATATAGATAGTTGATTTAAAATAATATATCACTTTTATAAAACCTTTGAATGTCATCCTCCGAAAAAGTTTTTTCTACAAAGAAAAGGAAATCAAGAAAATAGTCTGAAATCAATTATTACAAAAGCCGGCATATAAAGTTAACTAGAATAACTCGAAAAATAAACTTTATATGGCATGTCACTTCATCATAACTAATTAGAAGCGACAGGTTCCCAAAATATGGTTCCAAGAAGTCTTTTCAAAATCCAGACCGAATACATTGATGTATAGTTTCTCTAGCGATCGCAGCTATTTTAATGTGTCATCTATATATAGATCCAGCTTGTGGACGAGTTTGATATCATACAGATCGTTGGTGAAGGATGGTTTGGCAAGATTTTGTTGGTGGAGCATCGGGGTTCTCAAACCGAGATGGTCCTAAAAGCTGTACCCAAACCTTATGTGACACTTCGGGACTTTTACCGCGAATTCCACTACGGACTCCATTTGGGCGTCCACCGGCACATTGTGACCACCTACGATGTGGCATTTGAGACAGCCGGATTCTACGTTTTTACCCAGGAATATGCTCCACTAGGTGGGTTTTACAAATATTATTTAAAAATAGTAAAATTAATAAATCGCTTCCACATTTGTAGGGGATCTCACATCGAACGTGACCGACTCGGGTGTGGGCGAAGTTTACAGTAAGCGTGTGGCAAAACAATTGGCCTCGGCCATTGACTACATGCATTCAAAGTAAGTTTTACTATATTCCGTAGAAAAAGAAGCCATAAAAAATATATGTATTTTATAAGATATTTTAAGAAAATCTAATAGGATTTTTTCTAAGAAACCAAAATATTATAATTCTTTACTTATTAAGAAAAATAAATCTATATCTGTTATTTTTTTAACGTAAACATGATGTATGCATAATTAAATCATCGAAAAAGGTCCATTAAAACATTTAAGAGTGCATAAAAAAGTATTATTAATTAGTAGTTTCTAAACCATTTTTTTGAAACCATTTTTAATACTTATTAAATAATTATTCTTTAACAGAGACATAGTGCATCGGGATATAAAGTTAGATAATGTGCTCATCTATCGCTCGGACTTCCAGCGCATCAAGCTGTGCGATTTTGGCGAGTCCTTTCCCACAGGATCCACTGTGGAGCGCCGCAATGAGTGGTTGCCCTACAGTCCGCCTGAAGTATTAGAAATTAAACCCGAGGGCAGTTACAAGTAAGTAAGCCAACAAATTTGGAATGTGCCTCAAAGTTAAAACTCCTTTTTTAGGGCCGATCCCAGCCACGATGTTTGGCAGTTTGGCATTGTGATTTTTGTGTGCCTAACTGGATGTTTGCCCTGGCAGAAGGCTGCCTCCGATGATCCGCGATATGTGAGATATGTGGCCTGGCAGGGAGGACTAATGATGATGCCCCTGCGTCGAACTCCACGACTCTTCAAGCTCCTCACCTCGAATGCCCAGCGAATGTTCAAGCGCTTCTTCGCCAGGATCTCCAACCGACCAAAGAGCCTGGCCGATGTCACCAAGTTCCTAGACGACCGCTGGCTGGCCAAGACCGCCCAGAAGGAAATGGCCGAGTACGAGACCGATGAACTATGTCCTTCCATGTACTCCTTCCACAGCAGCCCGGATGAGAAGAACAAGCTGCTCTACACCCTGGCCGACTGCGGGATCGAGACGAATGTGGACAGGCAGCAGAAGAAGAACCGCATCAAGGACTGGATAGAGTCTTCCATCATTACGGAGGAGGATGAGGTGAGAGTTGGATACAATAAGATAGGGTTATCGCATGTTCTTCAAATACTCTTTAGTTTTTAGACCGCATTTAATTTCTAAACTTTCAAGTCGCCTTTAGCTCGAAATAAAAAGACTTTCTTAAAACATTTTCAAATTTCAATGACTTTTGTTGTTCAATATCTAATTTTTTAAAAATACCATCGTTCTTGAATGTAATTAATATTTCAAACATTTATAAAATAATTCTTATCCAATCGTTGTCATATAACTACTAAATTATTACCCATGAAAAATAAATATAAAATATGAAGACAAATTTTGTGCTGGGAAAGAAGCTTACCGCCTAATTCAATCGGATGTCTAATGTACATCAATATAAATTTCATCCGGAAACCCGAAATAGATGTTTTTCCAAGTTTCTCAAGTTTAAATACATCGTTGTCCTTTGAATTATTTGGCAGACGGCCAAGTTAAATTTAATTGTCTTAAAAAACCAAATTGTTCTCAGATTAACCAATCACCTTTTTGAGACATATGAAATACAATAAAAAGACCTTCTTCTGTACATATTTACTCATAAATAACCCTAATTGCAGGAGGAGAACGAGGAGACCAATTCCGCATCCCCATCCTCATCGGTCTCCCGGGAGCCCCTGCCCGGTCACATCTCCTCGCTGCGCAAACCACCCAGCCAGGCGGAGAGCGCCAAGGAGATCAACAGCACCCTGAAGGACGCCACCCAGAAGCACTTCGATCCGCGCACGGGGGCTCTGCAGCAGGGACCCAGCGAGATGGGCCAGGTGGCGGCCATGTCGTATTCCAAGTCGGCCAGTCCCTCCTCCAACTACAGCACCACAGCCTCCACACTGAACAACGCGGACAGCCTGCTGACCCTGGGCTCGCGGCAGGATCTGCTGGCCAGCAACCTGACCATGTACACCTCCATGGAGACCGAACTGAATCGTCTAGGTGAGGCTGATCCTCGGCTGAACCAGCGCTCCCAGAGCAACAATCCCCTGCTAACCACCTTCGACGTGAACACCTCTCCCGCCGCCAAGAACTCAATTGGAGTGGGCACCCGCGGCTCCAGCCGCAGCATCCTCAAGTCCTCCATCGCCACCGCCGCTTTTCCCGCTTTGGGCGCTTTTAACCACGGCCAGAGCCACAGCCTGCAGCAGCTGAGCCAGCACCTGCAAACCTCCACGGGCCTCAGCCCCGCTCCCAGCAAGAGCTTCTTCCGGCGATGACTAATCCCCCTTGCCGCACTTTCAGAGCTTTGCGATGGCCGGCACTCGAGCTATGCTAATCTCCCGTATGCTTCTCAAGTTAAAGACAGTGCCTACGGATCGGCCGATGTCAGCGAGACGGCGGCAGTCAGCAGGAAGGACACCGCCTACGATCGCACCACCAGCTCCAGCAGTCACAATGTCGCCCGGCGCCAGCGCAGATAGCTCCCCAGAGGGATGGCAGCCACTGATTAACAAGTTCCAATAAATAGATAATGTACATTTCTTAATTGGCAACCACTCCTTTACTTGGGCTCTTGGGGTAACGGAAACGGAAACGCAAACTGAGGTTCTTACAAAAGTACGTTTCATTTATTACGCATCATCTCAAAGGCCCAGAAAACGAGCACCGCTCACTTCAGAGGAATGAAACGAGAGCTGTGGGTGGCACCGATACCGGGACGACCGTGCTTGACGGGCTTGTAAGTCAGGGCGAACTCGCCCAGATAGTGGCCGATCATCTCGGGCTTGACCTCCACCTGTGGGTTGGGATAAATAGATTAGTTATCATGATCGAGGGAGGTTCTTGTTGGGGATCTTTCTCTAGACCTTTGTGTTAAGATTGTCAATCATTGTGGTTGTTGTTTGATGTTACTCTATATGTGCTAGGGATACTGGGGTAGTCTTACTATAATTTACAACTTAGAATAGCGTTGAGAACTGCGATTGTTTGTAACTATTTAAAATATGTTGCCCAAATGGATGGCCATAAAATCCAGAAATCCTTTCTTTTAATAGGTTAACATTTTTTTTTACAGAAACCTCAATTAGATTTGCCTAAATCTAATTATAACTTAATATATAAAATTTGTAACCAATCAAATGTGGCCTTAAATTGTATTTAAAAAAAAGAAGGATTTCACCTAAAATCCGATGTCTAATCAGGAAAGTGTAATCAAAAAAAACTTCACTATAAACAGCATCTTTCTGTTGATTGGAACTCCACACAAGGTCGGGAAAATAATCCTCCACAGCTCTTACCTGTCCGAAGTCCTTGCCGTTGTAGACACCAATGATGGAGCCGGTCATCTCGGGGACGATGATCATGTTCCTCAGGTGGGTCTTGACGATCTCGGGCTTCTCATTTGGGGGAGCCTCCTTCTTGGCCTTGCGCAGCTTCTTGATCAGGGCCATTGGCTTGCGCTTGAGGCCGCGGGAGAAACGCCTGCGGGCACGGCTGTGCATCAGCTCCACCAGCTGGTTGCTGTTCGGGGAACAAACACGTTTATTGAGGAATAGACCAGGGGATCCCCTCGCACTCACTTGGGCATGTCCAGAAGCTGGTCCAAGTCGACACCGCGGAAGGTGAACTTCTTGAAGGTACGCTTCTTCTTCAGACTTTCATCGACTTGCTGCGAATGGGAAAAACACCGTCATTAGTTTTATTTAGCCTCCGAACCGCACTCCAAAAATAACATCAGCAGCAGTGCAAATAACTTGGCCCCCTGCGCTTCACATTGCATTTCGGCGCGGATGCCACGGATGGAATTTCGAGAAAATACTTACATCGGCCATCTTGGTTGATTGGTTTGTTGTCTCAAAGGTAGTTTGCGACCTGCAAAAAACTGTAAGAATATGAATTTTCGCACGTGGCTCAGAGTTAAAAAAAAGAATTGCCCAATACCAACCGTCCGGAAACGCAGCGAAAAGAAAAGGGAAGAAGAAGAGATTCTAGAGGTGAGCCAAAAATAGTGTGGCTGCGTTGGCGTGACTATCGTGTTGCGAGAGCTGCCAACCGGCTTTCTAGACCGCAAAAATACCGTATCTTTGTAAAATATACTAGATTTCCAAACACACCATGAATGTTTTATAATACCCTAATTCTGCACACAGTACTTGAAAATATCGCTACTCGTTGAGTAAAGGGGTATATTATATTCGTGCAAAAGTATGTAACAGCTAGAAGGAAGCGTTTCCGACCCCATAAAATATATATATTCCTGATCAGGGTCACTTGCCGAGTCGATCTAGCCATGTCCGTCTGTCATCTGTCCGTCCGTATGAACGCTGAGATCTCGGAAACTTCAAAAGCTAGAAGGTTGAGATTTCCCACACATATTCTTGGGCTTCCTACGCAGCGCAAGTTTATTTCAGCCACGCCCCCTCTAACGCCTACAATCGCCCACTAACGATTTTAAAATGTGTGTAGCGCCCACACCTTTAAAGATTTCCGAGAAGTATAAATGCAATTTTATTGTGCATATTTATACCTATCGAAATGTAGAAGACATTTTTAAAATCGGACCATTTTTTAAAAAGTTATGCGTAATCAAGATTTTATACATCCATCTCCCTCGCACTCCCTTTAGCTGAGTGACGGGTATTAGATATTCGGGACACCAACCCGACTATAGCATTCTCTCTTGTTTTATATTTCATAACTGCTCTTCGTCATTTCGTCACCTTATTGTTCAGATCCATTACCGGATGTGAAAATAGAATCTTGAAGCATAGATTTAAAACTCCGGTAACCAATGTATTTCATACTTTGAACAAATTTTAACTCCTCTGTGCTCCGTTATTCCATTCTGAAAAGGTGTGTGAATTAATATAAAAGTATGAATTTATATGAAGTACTTGCAAGTAGGTTGGAGTGAATGCCATGAGCGGCCCTTCGGGATCGGAGAATTGGGAATTGAGGTTGGGTTTCTACGTCGTCAAACCCTGCTTCTACTGCTAATTCAAAGCTCGTATGGATCTTCTTTATTTTGTCCTTTTCTCCTGGCCAACATTTACATGCTCGCAGCGCCAGCGTATTGGAAGAGAAAAATCCATAGACAACATTCACTGGAGAAATTTCTTAAATAAATAAAAAATGGATTCAGCGCTCTTATCGTTGTCCATATTTCACGAAGGTTAAACGAGGACGTACGGATTGGAAGCACGAAGAAAGGACTGCTTCACGCCAATGGAAAATTTCGGAGCTTTAACTTTCCATTTTTGTTGTGTTTTGACACACTGGAAGTGAACTGTGGAAAGAAAATGAAATTCAACACAGTGATGGCCAGTAAAGTGGGCGGCAGCTACTGCCGAAGTTCCAGAAATTAATGCTTTTTATTCGGTTCTCGTAGGTTCCGCCAGAGATCACCCTGAGCCACTTCGAAGAAAACTCTTCTGTACTTTTCTTTTTCTTTTAGGGGATCACATCCGAGTAATGAGTTGTAATGGTTGAATCGTTCTCTTACCGCGATGTGGATATTCATAGGCGTTTTTCTCATGGTGATTCCCAAAGCACCGGTAATGTATATAACAGATTTTAATTTGAACGTTCTTCTAACTTTATTTTTTTAATGCATTTGGCGTTCACCATGAGAAAAACGCCTATGAATATCCATATCGCGGTATGAGAACGATTCAACCATTACAACTCAAACTCTGTTTTGATTTTCCATATTTATGGCCAGCTTTGTAGCTTTATCCCCGCTTTTTTACATTGATGTAACATGTTTTAATCATTTTTAATAATTAGAGATTATTTTATACACCAACATTACACGATATTCAATTAACGAGTTACTAATCAAATTAAAAAAATATTACTTAGTAGCTTGTTAATACCTATATTACATGCGCGGTTCCACGGGGGGTGATATGGGTGAAATATCACCCCCACTCGGGTGAAAAATGAAAGGAAATTTTGGTATTCCAAAAGTATGCAACAAAAAAATTGTTCTAATATCACCCCCCACAACAAAATCCTAGATCCGCCACTGCTATATTATAAAACTATTTTGATTCGTCGCTCCAAAGAGCAACACCAACAGTGATTGACTGCTTTTGAAAGTCTTATACAAAACCAATTCAACCAAACTTAAGTAAAACTTCAGGTGACAAAAAGTCATACAAAAACTCATATCAGAATAAAAATAAAGTTTAAATGAAGAGATTTAACTCTTACAAACAATCTTTCTAGATAACTCTTTAACTAAACATATTTTTAAAGTAATAAAAATGATATATTGTTTAATCTTTAACCATGCTACAAGCTAGTTATAATTGATTTAAATCAGCGGTCGGCACACACATACGTTGACATTTTGTTTTATATTTGTGTGAGTAATTTGCACTGGGCAGCTCATCGATGTGTGTGTGCAGACCCCTGCTCTACGTTATACGTGTGCGAGCAGCGCGTCAGCAGAACAAAACCCTATGCTCACTTAATAGGGCGCTGCCGACCGCTGATTTAAATGCATTTAGCACGGATAAATTACAATACCCTCAGTAGCATTATTCGGTATTGCCAGCGACGATAATCAGATACGTGATACTCCTGCTAACAGCTCTCCTGACCTTCACTATTGATTCCAGATGTGGACAAATTTGTACAAAGTTTACATGTTATCCAAGAGTGCTCCAGGCTATTGCAATTGTCCGATTAACGCACATTTAAATCGTAATATTAATTCAATCTTGGCAACTTTTTGGACCACAGCACATTCCTATTTCTATTCGAAAATTTGGTTTCGAGATTTAAGAGCTAAATCATTGTGTAATTTTTTGTCAGGATGTACTTATATAACTCTAATTTTATAATCTTTACTTTATTTCTACCCTTAAATATTTTTGAAAAAGATTTAAAGACCTGCAAAAGTTTGAGCAATGGCAAAAGACTGCAAGTATCCTTTTCTGACATTCTATAATTTAAACACCAAAGAATGTAGGCGTGCGATCTTCAATAGAGGTGGTAATATTATAAGTGCCGACATGCACTCCATCTTTATAAAATTTCCCAACGTGTCGGCACAGGCCTCGTGGCATTATAGTCGGCCAACGCTTGACATTAATGGTGACGTTCTTTATATAGTACGTCCCCTTTGGAAAGACGCAGGGATTGGTGTTTACAAATAGGTCGGTGTTGATTCCGTTCTTAACGCTGTCCCTTAGGTAGTCTCCGTGTTTCTTAAACAATGTACAAGTTCCTTGGCGTGGATAAGGGCATGAGCTTGAAATTGCCGTCGCGAGCGGAATTGGTATAGATATCTACTGCAAATGTATAGTGATCATCGTTGAAATCCTCAAGAATTTTAAAAGTTCCATTTAATGTATGCTCTCGGCCAATCAGTCGAAGATTAGAAAAGTCAAACGGTAGTGAGTTCGGTGAATAGTCGACGGATACAAAGATTGCTTCATACGACATCGGTAATTGAAACTAAAATACAGAAATACATTAAGCCAAATAACTCCCATATTAAAATCTAGTATATAAATTACCAGGGCTTTGGGGATCACCATGAGAAAAACGAAGCCAATGAATATCCACATCACGGCAAAATAACGATTCAACCATTAAAACTCAAACTCTGTTTGATTTCCATATTTATAGCCAGCTTTCTAACTTTATCCCCGCTTTTGTACATTGATCTAACATGTTTTAATCTATATTATAATTAGAGATTATTTTGTACACAAACTTTACATGACATCCAATTAACGTGTTACTAATCAAATGAAATAAATATTACTTAGTAGCATGTTAATACCTATATTACCAAACTATTTTGATTCGTTGCTCCAAAAAGCAATAACAACAGTGATTATCTGCTTTTGAAAAAAATTTATCAGAAAACTAATTGAAAACTTCAGGATGCCAAGAAAGTCTTACAAAGACTTATATCAGATTAAGGGTAGTACTCAACCCAACAAAAAGTCGTCCAAAACAAAAAGTTCATATGAAATAAAATTTCTCGACGTTTTAAACGTGGGTTTAGTACTAGCCCTAAATGGAAAGATTTAACAGATTTAACAATCTTGCAAGATAACATATAAGTTCCGGTTTGTTTTATATTTAACCATGCTATAAGCTAGTTAGAACCTATTAAATTCATTTAGCACGGCTCTGAGTATAAAAGGTTTCCTATAACTTATATATCCCACAGTAGCATTATTCGGAATTGCCAGCGACGATGATCAGATACTTGAAGGTCTTTCTGCTGGCAGCTCTCCTGCCCTTAATCGTTGATTCCAGCTATGGACAGCTTTGTAATTTAGATGTTTTTTTAATTATCGAGGAATTACTGACATAATTTAATTCTTATTTTAGTGTGCGGGACTGCGGGAAGTTGTCATGTTTTTAATACTAACTCCTGCCGTAAGATACCAGGCTCCTGCGGACGAATCTCCAAATGTTGCTCAATTAAGGGGCCACATGAAGAATTACCTGAATAAACAGTGCGGTTAACTTGCATTAAAAACGTTAAATTATTATGTGGCAAATTGCAGTAATAGTGAAAATTTGGAACTGAAGTCGGTTTCTGAAGCCCTGCTTTTTTATACCAACAAAAAATAACTACTTTTTTCGGCATCAACGCTTACGTTGCAACTTTAATATTACATTACATTCTAAAGTCCAATTAGGTCTTTCAAAATTCAAATTTGGCGCGAAATATATAGATGGTTTTTGTGTTCAAGAATGTACTACGTTGGCAGGGCCTACCAAATGCAACTGGGATGTTGGTATTTTGTAGAAAACTTAAGAGCAGCCATACTTAAAGTTTTATCAGTTAAATTCAACCATTAACGATACAAATCAAAGATGAACCAACGAAGTAACAATTACACCAGAGTAAAACAGACTCTTCAAAATAACTTTATAAAAATAAAGAGGTATTCCGATATTATTGAGCGCAAAAATAGTCTGGATCTCTTATCAGTTAGTTTTCGGTTTTTCGATTCGATTCGGGAGTTCAGTTCTAAATTAATCATCGGGCGAAATGCATGTGATTTTTGGGATCCTGTTGATCTTGGGAGTTCTAAGAAATTCTTTATCGGAATTCTGTGATAATGGAACTGGGGAGTGTAAGGATCTGACAGCAACAGATTGCCCGGCTGTATTTTTCAACCTGCCTTTAATTGGACGCCTTGTGAAATATTGCGACGAGTTCAACGACATCGTCTGCTGTCCCCTGCCACTTAATATGCAAAGCCAGTCGCAGCAATTCTCCGGAAACTTTGGCCTCAGGAGATACGAAAAGGGTCAGTTACACACACAGAAAAAATGTGTATCCAATGGATTGTAATTGGTATTTTTAAACAGAGTGTCGTCGCTATAACGAGATAAGGGCTTCCTGCCGTTCCACACCATTTATTGTGGGTGGCGCCAAGGCCGCTGGCCGGGAATTCCCCTTCATGGCGCTACTTGGTCAGCGTGGGAAAAACTCCTCGCAAATCGACTGGGACTGCGGTGGCACACTTATCCATCCCAAGTTCGTGCTAACCGCCGCCCACTGCTTGGAGACCAGCGAGTAAGTGGGATCTCGTAGCCCCAAGATACCAGAATAATATTCTATAAATTGCATGTACAAGCATATTTAATTGCACCACTAACTAATGCACACAGTACTCATCTAATTTCATTATTAAAGACATAAGTACCTGAAAACAATGACAATAAATTATATTTATAATATTTTACTACTAGTAAAACATCTATAAATTTATAATTTCTTTAATATTACAATTTCTATATAATTACAAAATTAAATTCGATCTTTTTTTGCTTAATATAGACAAATTTCGAAAAAGTGTTACATTGTTCAATTACAATAATATCATTTCATTTCATATCGTAAGGCATTTTATAAAGTTAACTGTTAACCACAGATTAATATAATTTATTAGGAGCTGCTTATTTATTTGTTCTTCGGAAGTCAGTTCAAAATTAACAAGAGAGCTGCATAAATTGGCATCTTATTAGTCAATACAAATCTATTCGTCAAAGCCATTGTGTTTGCCCCATAAATTATTTTGTCTTAATGCTAAAAAAAAAATGTTGGTTTTTTTATATATGGGCACTTCCAAAAAAAAGTCCACCAAGCCAAAAACCTTGAAACTTGAATGAAACATATTTCCACATGATTTTGCCCCGATATTAGTTTCTAATTAGTTGGATACTGAGCTTAACTACAAATTTGGAATATAGTTTGATTATTTTTATGACAAACCCCACCAATATACGCAAAAATCAGTTTTTGGCTATTTTTTTGTTATTTTTTGGACCTGTCTTCTGTTGTTAATTTATCCTATAGGAATGCTAATATGTGACATTTTTCTGTACTGAATGCTTCATTCACATACTAAACTATTAAGTTAAAAGCAAAACATCCAGCAATTGAGAGATAGAGGTAAAGAAATCCGCTTTACAAAACAGTCGGAAAAAATGTCCCGAGCGACATGTCCCGAGCGAATGTGGTTGAAACTGCATAAAAAAAAAAACGGCAACGAATTTTTGAGTAAAACCAAAAGCATTTCACAGCGACATGTTTGAACAACATTCTAAAAAAATCGCATTCAAATATTCCATCAGAATTCGCTAATTTCTGGTGTTGTATGAACTTCCCCGAAATCCACTTCTATTTTTGTCCCGAGCGAATACGGCAGTTTTTTACCGATATTTTAAAAACTAAAAGTGGTACAAAATCAAGATTTTTACCAAAAATAGAGCTTGGGAAGAGCGAAAAAAAAATCCCATAAATAAAATTAAAATCCATTGTTTTACAATTTTTTTTCAACTTTAAAGGTGTGCAAATGTCCCGAGCGACATTTTGGAAGTGCCCATATATAAAAAAAGATAGAAAAACATCATGATTAAAACATGATTTTTCACAAAATTGTATCTAGCTGGAATTCAGAAGGCGGAACCTCCCGGTTTATTGACTTACCCCTAGTTTATATCCAGTTTGAAAATTTTATTAGCCGAATGTGTATAAATTAATCCTTTCTATTCTGCAGCTTGTTAAGACACTATACTTCAGGGTATTCATTAGATTTCTGTATGGCTTAAAGTAAAAGATTTAATTAAGTTTTATTACAATTTTTCCTTATTAATTTCAGGACCAAGGAACAGCGTCTGGATCCCAGTTACGATTGCCCCAAATATGTGGTTCGATTGGGGGAACTGGACTACAAAAGCGACTCGGATGATGCTCAGCCGCAGGACTTCCGGGTGGTAAACTATGTGGTTCACCCAGCCTATGGTGAGGATGATGACACTGGGAGTCGCAAGAACGACATTGCCCTTGTGGAATTGGAAAGGGAGGCGATTTTCAACGAGTATGTGGCACCTGCCTGCCTTCCACTGGCCAGTGGAAATGATCATCTCCGGGTAACAGCCGCAGGATGGGGAGCCACATCGGAGGGAGGACACTCCTCCTCGCATCTCCTCAAAGTCACCCTGGAAAGATTCGATGAGAATCAGTGCAGCCAGCGGCTGGAGCATAAAATCGATGTGCGTACCCAACTGTGTGCAGGCTCTCGGAACACCAGTGCGGATACTTGTTATGGCGACTCCGGCGGCCCCGTCTTCGTCCAGCATCCCACGTACTCCTGCCTCAAGCAGGTCATCGGCATCACCTCATACGGACTGGTCTGCGGTGTCCAGGGATTGCCCAGTGTTTACACCAGAGTCCATCTCTACACCGACTGGATCGAGAATATCGTGTGGGGCGAGTAGGCGGGTAAATATTTAAACAAGTAATTCGCAACTCTAACTGAAAGGTGGCAACTAAAGTTTGTACCTTTGGTTAGTAACGATATGTTATGAATGAATTATATTTTACGCACAAAGTACCCATCTTTCAATCAATTACGTGCTAAATTAAGATGTTCAATGCACTCTTTAGAAATGTTTATTATGGCACAACTTAATATTCAGCTATTCATACTCAAAACAAATGCAAAATAAATTATGGTTGAAAAATATGAGTAGAAACTACTTTTACTCAATACTTCTTCTAAGCATAATTCATAAGGAAAATGTATATTTATGAAACCGTAAATAAAACACCCAAAATTCATATGCAAATCGAATTAAGAAAATATAAACCTGTACTGGTGAGTGATAAAGAAGTCACCGAAGATCCGGTTAATAGCCTTTCAAGTGCAATTAGAGCAAAACTAGATCCCAAGCCGGTCACATGAGTTACGTTAGGAATTCGGTAATTCTGATAACAGCTTAAACAAATCCCGAGGGCCCCTCCCACAAGAGAACACTCCGCTCGTGTCGATTTCAGTTTTGTTAGCTTTAATCAAACGTCGCGATAACAAGTGGCATAACAAACATCTGGGCTTATTCTACGAGGATGTGGGTGGTGTGGTGGCGGTGCGAATGGGTATACATATAATATATAGCGATGAGTGCTCTCTCTCTTGTTGTGCTGCAGTGCATATTTACTTAAGGCTAGGACACAGTGTAGGTGGCTAAGTGCTAGAGGACCCTGTAGAAGGCCAACATCCCGGCTGGATGGATGGCTGGATGGACACTGGATTGGATACAAAAGACTACAGCCGGTAGATTCGGTTGAGGTCGTGGCGTCTCTCGGCCTGCCTGTCCTTGATCTCCTGCCTGCGGATCTCCTGCTGCTTGTAGACGAACAGGGGCCGGAAGACGATGGCCCTGCGAGGACGATCCAGCTTCTGGACCTCCCTTCGCTGGCGGCCGGAATAGGGCCTAAACAGGTTCGACTTGGCCGTGTCGTGGGCGTAGAGGGTGCTCAGGAAGTCGAAGTACGGCTTCGATTGCAGGCTATCCCGGTTGGCCAGCGGGGAATTGTAGCTGAACTGATTGGGCGTCTCGATGTCCAGCAGGGCGTGGGGAACCTCCTGCAGCTGGGGCGCTGCCAATGCCATCGCCGACAGGACCACCAGGATCACGGAGGAAACCTGCAAGGAACAAGGAAAGAAAGCTTGAGTCAGAGACTTTGAAAGGTGTGAATAGCGACTGGAGGCCAGTGGCAGAACCAAGCGGTGCCAGAGAACCAGAACCTGTCTGCTCTTAGCGCTTATGCTGGGAATTAGCATACAATAATTAATTTAAATTAACCAAATGGGTAGCGGAGAAGGGGGTTCTGGCCAAGTCAATGATATAACCGCAATCAAATCTAATTTATAGTCGCACGTAAAATATTCATGAGCACGTCTCGAATTTGGTAGGCGTCATCGAGCATGATCCGCGAACCCAGCTGATCTCCAGGCGCCATCTAACCGGATGCACCGCCTCTAATATATGCTGCCTAACTAACTTTCCAAACTATTGTTCCTGGAAACCCATATGATTCACCCACTAAACGAAGTGATGGTACTCTTTCGGCGATTTTGAATTATGTAAAACCTTAACCGCAGACAAAACAAATTAATTTCAATCAAGAGCGGGCAAAAGGAAAAGATTGAGATTGAGACTGAAACTGAGACTGTAACCGGTTGGGGCCTTAGTGGTTCAGGGTTAAGAGCTCGACTTTGTAAACGGTATCAAGGCTCCCAACAGGATGGTTGGATGATCTGCGGATAAGCAGACGAAGATCAAGTGCAAAGCCGCACCATAAAGCGATTTTACGACACTTCCTCATCAAGATCACAAGATCGAAAGATCGAAAGATCGAATGGGAATAGAAATAGAATAACTTGATTCGATAATGATAATGCGTTTGGCCTTGTCCGGCGGCGAAAAAATCAGAGTACGCTGTCCGTATCGTTTGCAGCCTTAATTTGTGAATTTTTGGTTGAAAATGTTAATCGCCGAAACACGTTTCTTTGTTGGCCTGTGTTTTGCTCATAAATTTCAAATACCCCTTTCAGATACCGATCTCGAAAAATACTCACTTTCAAAGTGTATGCAAACATCATCGATGGGTGTATATGGGTACCGTTTAATAGCCCTCTGTCTTTCGTTTAATTAGTGGAGTGGAGTATCCTGTTTTTGGGTCTGGTTGGAGCACTTTGTCACTTGTTCCGATGCGGATTAAAGATTAGAGATTAAAGATCAATTAGGTGTGCGCACTCGCGGAATGTCGAAACCGTTCTGATCGATCGTAAATTCTGGGACGATGTCTTTATTATCAGTGATCGCTTAACACCTTGTTGGCCCCCGGAGCGTTGGTTGTGATGGTTTTGTGACTTATTCTCGATGCTATCGCCGCTGAGCGTGCGCTTCAACTGTTCAGAATTTTTGTCACAATTCATTTTTATACGGCCTGCCCGACGCTTTCGTATGCCGAACAGGTTTCGACCTGGGTTTCGCTAAACATTGCCGATATCGCGGCCCCTTCGCGCCTCTGAAACACCGAGGGTCCAATTGCCAAATTGCTGGCTCCGCTGCAGTTTTGGACGATCCAGCTAGTCACGTAATTAACGCTTCTGAGGCTTCTGCGGCTTCCCAGGGGGATCGTATCCATATCATATCAAATCAATAGCATGTATATGCGTCACATATACCCGTATTTGTTTGCGCTTGGCATTAACCGATCTCCGATCTTCGGCGGGAATTAATTAAACTTTTTCCATGACGCACTTACTAATCAAAAAAGACACTAATCCCCCGGAGATCGGATAAACAGATGGAGTCACAGGATGAGGAACTGGAATTGGATTTGGATTTGCCGCAGAGGCGACACGGAAGCCAAAGGGGAGTCGTAAAGTCGAGAGATCTCCCATAGAGATCAGCTTCGGCATCGGAACCAATTTGGAGATCATTATGCGGCCAAGTTATGCAAATTGTTGTTTGGTGACGCATGTTTGTGGATGAATGCTTGGAAAATTGTCAACCCAGCGAGGCACTTGAGCTTGGCTTTCATGCCTCAGGGGAGTCGTAATCCGAAGGTCGAGTGTTCTTGTTAGTGCCGATGGTAATGAGCCACGCTCGACTGGATCGGATCGGATCGGATCGGATCCCCCAGAAAAAGATAAACCCCCCTTCTGGCCGCACGTGATCAGTAGCAGATCTGCGATCGGATCGAGAATGGGTTTGGTTTTCGGTCTTCGGCTTGCGTTTGCGTTTGAGCTTGAATTGTTTAATCTGAAGAGCCAGTGACGTTGGTCGCCGAGTAGTTTGGGTTTCTTTGGCCAAGCCAAGACTCGTCTTGGCCGTGTCAATGGCCAACCGGTTGGCTCGGAGAGTGCAGGCTGCTTTATTCAATTGGCTAACATTTAGCCAAATAGCCCGTCAACACCCCCGAAGAACGGGCTCAGAACGTGAACGTGGTCTAGACTCTCACTTGCGTCTTTGTTTGTTTGTTTCTACGGTTCTTTTTGGCCTTTTCTTGCTTATTTTTAGCCAGAACAAAACCAATTTGCCCATAATTATTGTTCAATAAATTCAATTTAATTAGTTTTTTGGCTCGGAGCCGGTTTGAAACGCAATAAGACTAATGGCCCGGCGATAAGCGCCGCCGTCACGGGCCGACAAAATGTCAGAGAGCGAAAAACAAAATAAAATGCTTATCAGGGACTTGCGTCTATTCGGTAATGTTCAGATCCGACCGGATCCCTTGGGGGATTATACAAAACGGCACTTTTAATCGCATTACTCTCGTGTTTTGCCTTCTGACTAATCCTTTCCTCAACATCTACTTGTCAGACTCGGAACTCAATAATTAAAAAGGCGATGATATTTCCCAGAAATCATGAAAATTATAACATTATTCATTCATGGAGCTTCCGAACAAAGTCTATGATCTGGGATCCCAGTATAGTTAATATGAATCACTTGGCTTTTCTTACGGGGTTTAGTCGGAAATGCAGGTGTTCTAATTGGGCGAGATATGCTCCGTTGCTGGGCGTTGACTTCCGCGGAGGAGTGCGACTCATCGAGGTGCTAATTGGCCAAGATTGGATGCGCTTTCCGGCGGGATTGAATCACAATATCGGCTGGCGCCTCGAAAGGTGAGAAAGGGGCACGTTCCGGCTGTCGCAAAAACTAATATTTCCATTTCCCACCATTCATCCTGATCGTCGTTATGTTTGCCCTTTCACTTTGTACTTGAATGGCCTACGTCATTTGCGGATTTGGATTTTGGGCGACTGATACACCCTGGTGGTAATTAACACTTCCCGGGCTTCGTCACTCGCTTTCCACCGCCGAGCTCTAATTTGATTTAAGCCCTAATTTGTTTTGCTTGCGGCCAAAGATCATGGAAATTTTCGCCGATCTAATTAGTAACATGATTAAGAAAGAGTGTTAACTGCGATTGCTTACCTTATAAAGTTTTCGCAACATGGTTTTCAAATTTCAGCGCCCAACTGATCAAGCTTTATTCGACTTCGAAACCTTTGGCCTTGCCAGATCGTTAGAAAATGTTTGCCAAGCTTTAACTCAAATAGGGTGGGTGTCATGACATGTCAAAAACTCATGTCAATAAATTCTACATCTAATGAGTTACTTTTTAGCTATGTTGAGTGACACTTTTGACACTTCCGCCCACTCTAGACAATTTAAACACTTTTAATGGCAGAATAATATTGGATTACTGCTATTGTGTAAAAAGCTAATATAAACGTTTTAGAGAAAGTTAAGAAAATTTAAAAAAAAATAAAATTTCCTTAACTGTGCTAAATAAATTAATTATTTAAAATGAATTATTTCATTAAAACCAATACCAAAACTGATAAAATTAATAATTTTCCATTTTAAATAAATGCTTTTAAATACTATCGGTGGTTTCAAAATTTAGGAAACATTTGGGTTCACAATCGATACTATCGCTCAAAAAATGTTTTAATTTTACATGTAAGGGGGATTTCCTAAACTGTTGAATTGCTGAATTGTTGAAAATTCACCAAAAAATTTCAGCAACTAAGGGAACGACCCAAAATGGTTCCTGTTGAATTTTCAAACAGCTGTTATTTATTGAAAAGTTTCACGGAACTTAAAGCATGTAAAATTTGATTTATTATTGCTAGTTACTGTCTAAAAGTGTTGCCAAGGTAAAAAGAACCACAAATATGCTTTCTAAGTTGATTTTAAAATAAATAATGCGTACTAATGATACTAAAATGTTACAGAGTTGCCACGACTTTTAAAAAAAAGGTGACAACTCTGGCTTTTCAGCAATTCAACAAAATTTTCAGCAGCCCCGAGGCTGATGAATTGCTGAAATTTCTGAAATTTGACTTTGTATGGAACAGCTGATTAACAGCTGACCAAAATTCAACAATTCAGCAATTCAACAGTTTAGGGAATCCCCCTGTAATTTTTGGTATATTTTAAGACGGCTCCAAGATGGACTGTGGTGTAGGGGCTGGAATTTTCGCTGAAAGCTGGGGGATAGAATCGAAATTCCACCTCCCAGAATCAGCGACAGTTTTTCAGGCTGAGGTACTCGCTATTTTGGAAGCAGCCAAGCTTTCGATTCAGCAATGCCTCAGGAATACCAAGGTACGGATATACTTGGATAGCCAAGCGGCTATCAAATCTCTCGCAGCAGCAAGAACCAACTCGACACTAGTAGCCGATTGCAAGTCGGCTCTCAACATACTAGCAACAAACAACCATGTACAGATAACATGGGTGCCAGGGCACAATGATATACCAGGAAACGAAAAGGCGGATGAACTTGCACGAAAGGGGTCGGCAGACGACTCCTATACAACTAGTCTACCTGAATCCCTTAATACAGTCCAAGCAAGGATTCACGAACACTACAAAACACTAGCTAGTAAAAGTTGGTCAGAAAAGCAGGGTCTCAGGAGATCAAAGCTCTGCTGGCCAACCATCAATAGCAAGAGAACTCGAGAACTAATATCCAAAAGCAAAAGGGATATTAGAAGGATCACGGCACTCATCACAGGCCATTGGGCCATTGGCACGCAAGCCATGAAGATGGGGCTTCCGTACAATGCTAATTGCAGGAGCTGCAAAGAAACAGACACACAGGAGACACCTGAGCACATGATGTGTCATTGCCCAGCACTAAACCATATCAGGGCGAGATACTTCGGGGCGTATCAGCTGGAATCATTGGGAGAAATAGGAAAGCAGAGGATAACTGCAATCCTAGGTTTTCTAAATGATGCAGGCTGGTACTGAAGAGAACGCGGAGACAACAATTTACGAGGGTGTGGATCAAAACGGAGCTCAGCTCTACTTGGAGGCTCTCAGAGAGGACCTCACCACTTCTACCTACCTACCTTAAGAAAAAAAAATATTTTGGGGGATTTTACCATCGATAGTTAAAGTCATCGATAGTGTCCACTATCGATGTTTTAACAACCCTACTTCTTTGGCCATCTTAGAACCCAGCATTTCTAGTCTATTATTTCGACCTGGTCATTATTGGCCAATTCCAGCTTATCGCCGACTGCACGCCTGCATGATCATGCTTAGCTCTAATATAATTTTATCTTTGACGGAGTTTGGAAACGGTTTGTTGTGGGTCAATTTGCGGAAGTTTATAATCTGGCTTTTGTAAGTCTAATGGTGAAACGTTTCCTTGCTATACGCCGTATTAAGGATCTCCGTGACATTGTGTAAGCGGGAAATCCGACCCTTTAAATGGGTTATGTCGTACAGTCCTGGGATCTCCATATGCTTCAAGCTGTTATTTAAGGGGGGACATCTGAGTAAAATGTTGAAAAAATTTAAAAAAAATGTTGGCTTAAAAATTTTTTAGGTTCTTAAAAATAACATACCATAAGATAGAGTCCGGCAAAATTGTCTAAGTGTCGAAATTTTCCATTCTGCGCTCAGGATTTTTTTTGGGTTTTGCTCTGGACGAAGGTCTCCGGGCAGATGAACATTTTCTCCGATCCCGATGTGCCGGTCATTTGCTCCGATGTCCACTACGCGCAAGTGAAAGTTTACGTACTTGTAAGAGCCATCTTAGAACCCAGTATTTCCAGTCTATTGCCTACACTTTCGAGCTGGTCATTATTATTGGCTGATCCCAGCCGAAACTCGATGATCATGCATAGCTCGGACAATATTTTTTTTGAAGGTGGTTGGAAATTTTTTTTTGGGTCAATTTGCCGAAGGTGAGGAGCTTGTCCTTTAAACAGTGATCAAACATTTATTTTTAATTAAGTAATTGTTACAAATTATAATTCCAGTGACATTTGGTATTACATTGTAGAAAAATTAAATTTAAATCTTTAACATATTTAGGATCCATTATTATATTAGAAAAAACATTAAAAAAAAAAGTGTTTCACATTTTTGTAAAAAATTTAAAATTATATCTTACTCTTCTTTTTTTTTAGTTTTTGTGTTTTCAATTTCGACTGCTACTTCTTCCTCAATTTCAAAAGTGTTACTTAACATCCCGTTAGCATTTTCTTCATGTTGTGGCCAGCACATGAGGATATGATTGGCGAATCGAATAGATCGACAACCTCTGCTGGCAGGCGCATCCTAATGGTTTTAGTTAGCAGAAATAGATAGTAAGGGATCAGACGCATCCATAGCTCTGTGAAAAACACATGAAATATTGTCAACCCGGCTACATTTTCTGGCATTATATTTTCTGTCAGCCTTGAAAAGTTTGTGTCTTGCTTCTGATGTACTTTCTGCTAAAGAGCCAACAGGAACAATGGATTTTTCAATTATGATGTATCCATGTACTAAAATGTTATGTGCTGTTAGCGACATGTAACACAGGAAAACATAGTTGACTTTGTGAACTTTGTGAAAATTCCACGAACCTTTTGAATTCAACGCCAAAGTTAAAAATGCCAAAATTCTGAGGATTTCTCTGATGGAAAACCAATTGTAAAAATTCCTAATCTTTATTCTTGGAAACTACTGTCCACTGCATTCTTTAATTTCGGTTAAAGTGGACAGTAGATTCCAGGAATAATATGCCGTGATGTATTGTCCAATTATATAGGCCACATATGTAATTCCAAATATCGGCAAACATCGGTTTTTTGTATTTTTATTTTTGTATTGTGATGGAACATAAGTTTGTATGGGTCTTTTACTCAAGAGCACCCAAATATCATGGAAAATTAGAAATGGTTCGTGGAAATTTCACAAAGTTCCATTTTGTGTTCCTGTATAGTTATCCATTTCGAGTAAATGCTTTCAAATATCGTAAAAATTTCTGAATCTTTAATGTAGTACTTAAAAAAAAGAAGAAAGTTTAAAATATTATCCATTCTGTTACGGTCGCTGATAACAATTTCGAAATTAACGGTAAGCCGTTTTGCTGGCGACAACAGACTGTTAAGCACCGGCTGTCAGCCAACAGATCGCGATAACAGGCAAAGAGAAGCCTCTGTTAAGGCCAACGGGAATATCGTAATCGCTTAAAAAGTGTTTCAGAGCAAAGCAAGCAACCAAAACACTCGGGTCTTACAAATATTGGTAAAAAATCGTAATCGCTTAAAAAGTGTTTCAGAGCAAAGCAAGCAACCAAAACACTCGGGTCTTACAAATATTGGTAAAAAATTGGTAAATCGCTGTTTTAAAAACTTAATTAAAGTGCTGCCGCCGCGCCACTGGCCGTGTTCGCATCCAAATTCGTGTCGCGCTGCTCTGGTCGTGCGGGTTCTTGCTGGATTATCAACAAATGCCAAAATTTCGTCAAGGCGAATAAAACCGTATATGTATAGATATATATCTGTGCCTGTGTGCGTGCCAGCCTGTGTGTGTGTGAAGATCACTTAGCGGTGTGCGTGTGTGTGTGTGTGCGAGTCGCTGGGCAAATAAAAAACACATTTTTTAATATTTAACTAATATTTCGCACAAAGGCCGACCGAAAACGGCAACATTGGCATTGAAATACACCGGAAAAAAATGTAAAGTGAAACCTACAAAGTTGTCTTATCAGTGAAACAGAGGGAGAGAGAAAACTAGTGCAACAAAAACTACATTTTTCAGATTAATACACCTCATAATTCTTTTCCTCGAAACCTACCCACTCTCTTTGCCATAACTTTTGTGCTTTTTTTGTTGCGTTATTTGTTATTGTTGTTTCGGTTGTCTCGCGATTAGAATTAATTGACAAATGGCAACAACAAATTATTCGGGTTCTTTTTCGGTGTTAATACTTACTGGCAAAAAAGTGCACTGAGAGAAAAGTTTATAGTTTTATAATGGCAAGTTATCAACAAAGTCTTTATTATCCTTCGAAGGAAATATATACATAGTTCCATAACAATAGATCATATTTCTTAATTTCAATAGTTTTAACAAAAACTAACAGGATGCACGAAAGAAGCCACAAAAGGCAGACGCCGAAGAGCAGACCGAAAAGAACATGAATAAATCATAACTAAAGTTAGTGCCCCCTGCGATCGGTTAGACATAAAATTAAAGTACAAATAAACGAAAACATTAACCGAGGTTCAACGACCGCCGGCTCTACTTCTCCATGTGTGCTGGTTCTCAGAGATAGAAAAAGCATAGCAGAGCATATAGCCAGACTTCCACTTCTTTTTCGGGCCCATTAGCACCTGTCACACCAGTCTTTATCGCGAGTTTTGGGGTTATCTAGAAAGGCAACAGGTATAAAATCAGGTAGGGGCTGTCTCTCTCTCTCTCTCCCTTGTGTTAACTATCGTTTGTGGCAAAAGGATATATCGATAACTAAACGCAGATCGATAATATTACATATCTTTACTTACAGTTGGTGTCGCAGTCGTACCTCCTGTAAACAGTGCTAAATACCCCTAAAACCAGTCAGAAATCCAGCTACATGTCACTATCACCTCAGCTCAAGCGACAGAAAATGTCCCAGGGGAAAAAGTTCGGCGATGGAGATCCATTTAATTACCAGGAGCTGAACATCATCGGCACAGGTAAGCGGATTTTGGATTTTGTTGTTGGGATAGGTCGGCGTTTCTGTTTATTTATGGCTGCTCAACGAAACTGTGCGGATTATTAACGATTTACTTTAATTTGTTTACAAACTCTTGGCTATTTGGTTACGGCGCGTTCTTGAGTTTACATTTTTAGTAGCTCTATTGCTTACTTAAGTCGTATTAACGACTTTTTTATTGGTGGCTAATTGAGCTTAAAAGCAAATGTATGGTTTTGTTAATAAACTTAATTTATTGGTGCTAAATGACTTTGTAGCGCATTCTCTAAGTGCACTTGGCCAAACTTTTTGAAACCACGACTAAATAAGCATGGAAAATCAGGAAAAAAGGGGAAAAGTTGGCTGGGTAAAGCCACACGATCAAAACTTCCCCTTTTCGGGGTTTCCTCTGCATACTTTTAGGTCTATTTCAGTGGGCCACGTGTTTTTATATTAGATATTCAAAAGCAATTTCGAACCCAGATCGATGATCTGACAAGTGGCCCATGGCTTTTTTTTGGGTAGCAATTACGAATCGTTTTTTCGTTTTTTTTTTTTGTAAATAAAGCCCAAATCAATTACGTCACCGAGCTGTGAAGAGGCGAATGTTAATGATGGATATTGTTACTGGTCGTTGGGCGAGCCAGGGGCTTTGGGGGAGGGGGCCTTAAAGCCGGAAGGTAAACCATTCATGGGGCCCTTCCCCTCCTCGCAACCCTCTGAATTTCATCTGTTATACGGCACACACACCTACAGTTTCGTCTGTCTGTTTTTCTGTTCGCATTCATTCAATTATTGCCCCTTGCCATTCGCTTTCGCTCCAACCTTTCATTGTTGTTTTTTCATTTTTTGTTTTTGTTTTTGTTTCATTGGTCTGTGCGCAATTTTTCGAGTTTATTTTTTTGACAATTTCAAATCGAGAGCCCAGTAGCCGACGTCCAAAACGAGTCGAAGTCGAGCTCTCGGCCTTGTGCTTGACTGTCGAAATAGCGGCACAGTTCACAAGCCAGGTGGTCTGGAGACCCCCAAAACCTACCACCTCCCCCCACCCCCAGTTCCATTTATTTGAGAGATGTAGTATTTAGTATATGGTACAGAGTGTCTGTCAATGTCAACCGAAATAGCCGATGTCTGGTTGCTCCTGCCCCCCCACGCACGTCTCCGTCCGTCCATTTGGCCGCACGGGCGATAAATTTCCGGTGACAACATTTTGTCTCTGGTATTTGATTCTGATTGGGGGTCTGTCGCCTCTTGGCACTCTCTTTTCGCATTTCTCCGCCTGAGCAAAGGGGGAAATTAAGATCATTTTGTACCTGAGAGATCAATTAAATATTATGAAATATTTCATACATTTTATTTTACTTCTATACAAAATATAAAGCATCTATATTAATTCATAGGTACTGTGCTTACTAAAATAAAGTGTACATTTTATGAAATGGATTTTCATTTCAATCGTTATGCTAAAAATAACAAGAAGAAAACGAAACAATACCGAAATGGTACATCTGTCAGAAATAAGTGGAATCAATGCCAAATCGACGATCAATTAGGGGTAATTTTCTCTCCGTGAGTCTCTCATTTCTGCAATCTGAATAGTTGAATATGGCAGATACCGCCAATCAGCCGGCATTTCTCGCCCATCTTATCAGCACAGCTGACTTTGGTTGCCTTTTATTTTTATTTCGTACCTTGTGCGAATTTTCGCCAGTTTTACGTGTTCTTATCTGGCCTTGCTTTTTTGGGGGTTTGGGGCTTTTTTTGTGTCTCTGTTTTTGCTTCTGATTAGCATTACCATTTGATTCGGTCATTCGGCGAATTTGATCCAATTTTGCTTGGCCTTATTTTCAGGTGCTTATGGAACTGTCTACAGAGCCCGAGATGTGATCACCGGTAATATAGTGGCGCTGAAGAAGGTCAGGATCTCGCTGAATGAGAATGGAGTTCCCATGTCCACGCTGCGGGAAATTTCGCTACTTAAACAGCTGAATGCCAGCAATCATGCAAATATCGTCAAGTAAGTATATTACGCCAAACTAAAGCACAAATCTTAAGCCATGTTATGGCATTTTTTTACAATTATATTGCTAAATATAAGGGGTGTGTTTGTTGTGTGTTATCACCGGCTATTGAGGCCGAGTGGCGCCCCAACTATTTGCCAAAGCAATTTAAAAAGAACCTTCCTGCAATGTCACAACGCTTCTGTTTATCTTGGCACGCTATAGCCGCAATATTCCGCCGATTTGCAGGTGGAGGAGGGGTGAACAGCCCGCTTTTGCCCCCCGTCCCCTGTTTTCGCCCACGCTTTTGGCATATGCCAGTCAAATAACTCTGGAGCGGCGCCACTCTGCTCAGGCTGATAACGCCGCCGTAACTGCAGGCGCAGATTCGCCGATTTTGTATTGGCATTAAGTAATATGCGGCGGCCGTTGGGAATTTGAATTAACAGAGCGCGCGGCTAACAGGTTCGATAGCCGGCAGTCGATATCGATATTTGCGATCCTCTCCTCTCCTTCGCTCAGATACGATAAAGCGAGCTAACAGCGTGAGAGCGCGAGAGGTATATGAATATCGTACGACCTAGAGAGTGGGAGAGCAGGTTCGTACAACAGAATGTTAAGTAGCAGAGGTTGCGACTGTTGTTTTGTTTGAAACTAAAAGTATTTTTACTGGTTGGAGGGGAAAAGTCTTGGTAGAAGGCAAAACTTGCAATAAAAAGCCAATTTATAAATTTTTATTAAATACAAGTCTAGTGTACAAAATTAATAATAACTAGTAGTCTTTGAGGGTTATAATATAATATTTATTCGTTAAAAATATATTTATATACTTTTAAACAAATCAAAATCTCTGTTAAAATAACTTGCCAGAAATGCCTGTTAACATTAATGTTACTTATTTCTCTGCCAGCGAGAACCGTACGATCTTTACTCTCTTTAATTTACCACTCTCTTTGGCTCTCTGATCGCGATATCGTAAATGTGCGCATGTGTTTGTCTCGAGTGCTTCGCCTAGTACCCAAAACGAACGCAGTATGGCCGATGGCGCTAGTAAGGCCAGCAGCATTTTATAACACTCTTTCTATATCTCTCAACATTTGTTTATAGCCATCTCTTTCCCACGTTGAAATCAAACAATTTTTAAATATATATATATTTTTGTTTACCCCTCTTTCCCCAGACTGTTCGAAGTATGCCAGTTTCTAGAGCGCGATGGGCAACTTTTGATACTTTTGGTTTTCGAGCACCTGGAGCAGGATCTTTCGGATCTGATCGACAGACTACCCAAATCGGGAATGTCGCCGGCTACAATTCAGGTGGGTCTTGAGATAATACTACCACTGAAATCCAGTAGCTAATCCTTAAATATAATTTTCTCTTTCAGCGCCTTTCACGGGAACTACTAACTGGTGTGGACTTTCTGCACTCACATCGTATTATCCATCGGGATCTGAAGCCCCAGAATCTGCTGGTCTCCTCGCAGGGTCACCTGAAGATAGCCGATTTTGGCCTGGCCAAGACCTACGGATCGGAAATGAAGCTCACCTCGGTGGTGGTGACCCTGTGGTACCGGGCCCCCGAAGTTCTGCTTGCCCAGCCCTATAATAGCACCGTGGACATCTGGAGTGCTGCCTGCATTATCTTCGAGATGTTCAACCGCAGGGCTCTGTTCCCGGGAACCTCTGAAAAGAACCAGCTGGACCGCATCTTCGAGTGGGTTTCCTTTTTTTATAGAGTTTCTATTAAATTATATTGTAAAAATATTATTTTCTAGACTTACTGGTCGACCCACTGAGCAGCAATGGCCGCAGACTATTTCAGTGGCCCTGGAACATTTTCCCCAGCGGCATCCAAAGAGACCAAAAGACTTTTGCCCACTTCTGTGCGAATACGCCGATGATCTATTGAATGTGAGTATAATCTTTTATAATATTTTAAATTAGTAAATCTGCAAAAATAAAATACTGTTGGTTGTTTAAATTTTTCTTGTAAAATAAACCCAGAAATCTGTATTAAGTAATATCTGTAGAGTTACACCTATTTTGTAGATACTCATACCTGAATTCCCTCCCTTCTTTCAGCAAATGTTATCCTACGACCTCCATCTGCGACCTTCCGCCTTGGCTTGCCTGGAGCACGAGTACTTCCAGCAGGAGCCACTATAGCCCTAAAACATTTCCCAGAAAGATAATGGAAGTGGACTAATCATTACGGCCTCGCTTCGTTCTTGTTACAATGTTCCTTTAAGTGTAGTGAAGCATTTTGTTTATTTTTTTCGCGACAGTCCAGTTATTGTGTCCGGATCCGGATTCGGAATAAAGATTAAAGAATACCTTAATATGTTTGTAGTCGTAAGCTAAGTGTAAAAACACCCATTGTCGCGTCGTATAAATATTACTGCCGATCAACTGATAACCGCTAAATGTGAAACGATTCTCGAGGGCGCTACAGAGCCCTCCAAATCGAAATGTGATACACAAAGTTCAGGAATGCATTATACAATTTCAAAATTTTGTACAACAACATTTATATATGCAATTATATATACAGAATACAACAACAAATATTATTTTGATGTTTTATTTGGAATAATTTGATAATGGGATTTAAAGGGGATATCGAGGATGCTAGAATAGATAATAGCAGTTATAATTAGGGAAACTGTATAATTGAAAGAGATTTTTTAACACCCCTGAATAATTTATGTTTAGGCCGGGCCAATAAATGTAGGGCCAAAGTCAGTTATTTATTAGATATTTTAACTGCAATGGAGGAAATTCATGGTTCAAAAATGTAATTATGATTAAATATTTATGTAAGCAACTGAAATTAAAAACTACTTTCAGTTTTTAATTTTACGATCATCAACTCTTTTGAAGTAAAAGTAATATACATAAATGTGTGATTTTAAAGTTTTCTTTGAAATGGCAGTGTACAGAGGGTATAAATTATGTAGCCTCAACACATTTTCAGAATGAAAATACATTTTGATAATTTAAAAAATTGTTTACATTATTTTAACAAAGAAATCACGGGGAATTAATATTTAGTTTATTGGTACATAAATGGTATTTTTGAAAGTTCAACTGGTATTTAATTTCGTACGACATTATTTCTCTAAAACCGATAGGATCGGAAAACGCAAATAACGACGTTTCCAAAATTACAAAAACATCGACATTTAACAAAATACTAAAACATCGATGTTTCCTCGCTGTAGGCACTGCTTGCAATGCTGTTAATGTTAACGCGTCAATCAATGTTTGCTTAACGGGATAACAGCGAGGACAAAAACCAAATACGAATGTTTCCAACACTTACAAAAACATCGATTAAATAAAAATACTAAAATATCGATGGATCGATGTTCCTCAAGTTCTTGCGCACTGTTAACTTAACAGTGCAATTTCCACTCAATGTTAACTTAACAGAAAAACAGCGAAGACGAAAACCAAATTGGAATTATCCAACACTTATAAACATCGATGAAATAAAAACACTAAAACATCGATTGAGTTCCACCTCCAACTTCCGCCTCTTTTTCGACGACCGATTTCCACTCCAATTCATACTCACTTCACTCCAATTCATGCGCACTGTTAACTTTCCACTCAATTTCTTGCGCGCTGTTAAATTTACAGTGCACTTTTCACTCAAGTCCGTGCGCACTGCTGTCAAGTTTACAGTTTACAGAATTGTTAAATTTTGGTCAGTTGTTAATCATAAATTTCAGAAATTTCAGCCAGGGACCGTAAATAATCATTATTTTCAGGGACCGTAAATAACAGTTATTTGAGATTTTTATTTTAAAAGGCCTACTGAGATTTGTACAAGTTTTAGTCAACAATTTAACTGGTTTTTATGCACTTCAAAGACATGAACAAATAACAGTTAACTTGATTTGTTGACATGCATATACTTTGTGGACAATAGTAAAAAGAACGTTATTTTTGACGATTAAAACAAAAAATCACAGTAGTCTTTTTATAACCTTGCAGAGGGTATTATGATTTCAGTCAGAAGTTTGCAACGCAGTGAAGGAGACGTTTCCGACCCCATAAAGTATATATATTCTTGCGCACTCAGCAATTCACTAGTGCGATCTAGCCATGTCCGTCTGTCCGTCTGTTACCGTCCGTCTGTCCGTCCGTTTCTAAGCAAACTAGTCTCTCAGTTTTAAAGCTATCGAGATGATTAACTTTCAAAAAAGATCGTATTTCTAATGCAGGTAATATATATGTCGAAACCAAACGGATCTGACAACTATATCTTATAGCTCCCATAGGAAGGATTCAAAAAAAAACATAAAAAAATTCTAGCTCCGGTGTTTTTTGAAATTTTACCTTCTACTCTCATGGGAATATTTTTTTATATATTTCTGAATTTCGGTTTTTTTTTTTTTTAATCGGATCACTATATCACATAGCTGCCATAGGAACGGTCGAAAAATTAAATGAATATTTATGGGAAAAAAATTATATCTTTGTTGGTTTTTATTACATTCCCAAATTCTACTCTGGGATATGACTATTTTGAAATATTTCCGAATTTCGATTTTAATTTTTAAAAGATCGAACTACTATATCATTAGCTGTGATAGAAACGATCGAAAAATTAATGTGAAATAATAAGAAATTTAACATTTTTGCGATTTGTAAATTAATAGAATGATCTGCAAGGGTACATAAGCTTCGGCTTGCCGAAGCTAGCTTCCTTTCTTGTTAAATTAAAAATCTCAAATAAGGATTATTTACGGTCCCTGATTTCAGCAATTCAACAGCCTCGAGGCTGTTCGTTGAATCACCAGTATCACCAGTACGTATTATTTATATCAAACTCAACTTAGAAAGCATATTCTTTTTACCTTGGTAACAATTATAGACGGTAACTAGCAATAATAAATCAAATTTTACATATTTTAAGTTCCGTGAAACTTTTTAACAAATAACAGCAGTTTAAAAATTCAACAGGAACCATTTTGGGTCGTTCCCTTAATTGCTGACATTTTCTGTTGAATTTTCAACAAATCAGCAATTTAAGTTTAGGGAATACCCTGTATATTAAAAAAGCGAAGATAAGAACCAAACACAGATGTTTTTAAAACATCGATTGCATCGTTGTTTTCATCGATGTTTCTTCACCTGTACACTAATACTGGTCACTCTATTATTCAATATGTTAAAAAACAAACATCAATAAAAAAGCAACGAAACGAAAATTTCTATACAAAAATGACCAGGCGGTCATTTATAAACTTTGTATGGAGATTTTCATTTCGTAGGCTTTTTTATTGAAGTGATTACGAGTTTAAACATTTTTTTAAATTTAATGGTATATAAGTGGTATTTTTAAAGTTAAACTGGTATTTTATGGTATTTCAGACGGTATTTTTTCTCTATACCGGCGCGGTCACACCAACTTCCGCCTCTTTTTCGACGACGACTTGCTAAGAAAAGTTGTGTTTTTCGTACCTTTCGCCAATTCACGTTTCGTGTCAAGAACCCAAGACTTAAACATGCGTTACGTGGCTGCTTACCTTCTGGCTGTCCTCGGCGGCAAGGACTCGCCCGCCAACGGCGACCTGGAGAAGATCCTCAGCTCCGTGGGCATCGAGGTCGACGCCGAGCGTCTGACCAAGGTCATCAAGGAGCTGGCCGGCAAGAGCATCGAGGAGCTGATCAAGGAGGGCCGCGAGAAGCTCTCCTCCATGCCCGTGGGAGGTGGTGGCGCCGTGGCCGCCGCCGAGGCCCCCGCTGCCGCCGCCGGCGGCGACAAGAAGGAGGCCAAGAAGGAGGAGAAGAAGGAGGAGTCCGAGTCCGAGGACGACGACATGGGCTTCGCTCTCTTCGAATAAGCGGCTAGATGGGCGAATATTCTGTGCAAAACACTTGCGAGGCGAAGGAGCAGCGTCTGGAGGACCGGCCATCGTTTTCGCATGGCCGCCGTCTACACTCAATTGTCTAGCCATCCGTTGACCAGTTCTACGAAATAAAAATCTGCAGTGTTTGCACTTTATATAAACCAAGTGGAATTGTGTTTTCTGTGCCGTTTAGGCGGTTATTTTCATGGTTTTTGTGTCTCATTTCCCCTAACAGTGGACCCACGTGTTGGCTAACATTCTGCTAAGCTCATCCATGTTAGACGAACAGTTCTCGGCATCGGCAATGTTAACTTAACAGCGCGCGCTTTTAAATTAAATTTAAATTTCCTATTGTCTATGACTAGAGATTACAATACACACTAGGAATCGAAAGCTATATTTCATTCAGTTTATTCTTCAGATGCTTGAGAAGAGGCCTTATAGTGGATATATACAGCTTCTTGTAAGTAGACTAGGAAAGCAGCCATATACTAACATTGATTTTTTTGCCTCTACAGAAGGTAAATTGTATGGATCCTATTCTTCATACTGAGAAGTGGCTTTATATTGGATTTGCAACATCAGGTCAATATAACTTCTATATCCGAAGAATGTCAAATGAACGATTTGTAATGGATGTCGTTTAAAAGATCTTATAACAATGATATTTTGCAGTTAGAAAGCTCTCGATTGAAATATTTCGTTAAATAGTTATTCGCCATTTGACAAGTTTTCTTACAAATATAGCCTACCACCCAAAATAAATTAAATCGAAATGTTAAGATGAATATTGAGTTTTTTAAACTCTAAAATTTAACGTTTTGATTGATTGAAGTATAACCAATGGTCTAACTCTACGCTTAACTACACCGAGGAATTGTACACATAAATACACCGAGGAATGCGGACATCATAACTTATTTACATCCAATTGCAGATTGATTAGGCCAGGCCCACAATAGTATAGAATATTAGGGGCAGCACCAGGTTGTCCACCTGGTCGGTGAAGGCCTCCACCAAAGCAGAATTCAATGCCGCGAAAATGGTGGCAAACCATTTGGCTTGGGTCATAGCTACCAAGCCACCAATCTCCAACAGCCAGACGGCCAAAAGGATAGACACCACAAAGGCGATGGTGCCTTCTAAAGAGCGGGAGGATCCTGAAAAGATAAATTAAAATAATTTGAGAATTGTAATATGTCTAATAACTCAAAGAAAGAATGTCATTACTCAAAAAAGCTATTTTGACGATTTAAAATTGAAATTAATTAGTTAGTTAATTAATTAGTAGCGGTGTAACAATTTAAAATATGAATATTTTGCTTTTTTGAGTAATAAACTCCTTTCAGTAAGTTCTGTTTTACTTACTTCCCCACTTATTGCGGCCCAGCTTCGAGCCCACTACACTGGCTGCAGTGTCTCCTACGCCCACTGCCAGTATTCCCGAGAGCAAAGCCAATGTATCGTCTCCGGAACAGGGACACGGGGTCATCCAAATGGGCATAGAGCAACCGATAAGCAGACAGAACGGAGTCAAAGCCAGTTCTCCGGCGTCCTTTTCATCTTTGAAGGAGCGGAAGGCATCGGCGAGTCTGTCAGCCAACGGAGGGATCTTCAGGAGACGTAGAATTTCCAGCACCACAAAGGCAGCCAATGCCACTCCAGTTGCCAAGTACAGCAGGGCGCACTCAAAGACCAATCCGGGGATATAGACCAGCACGATTAGCAAATGGAAGATCTTCCGTACTCGCGTGTTGGCCTTCGAGGCGCTACCAATTTGCCAGGCCACCGTAATGCAGGTTAGTACAACCAGCAGCAGATAGAAGACCAAGATGCTGAGGCGATCCTGATCCCGGAGGAGAAACTGGATGAGGGCCAAGAGAGGAAGCGGACGAGTCACCGGCATGCATGTAACAGCCAACAGGAGCTGCAGCGTCCACAGGTAAAAGCGATACGGCTTCCGAAGCGATGGAAACAAGACGAGAGCCAGGCAGAACACCAGTAGCCAAAAAAGTGCATTCTGGAAATGAAATAAAATTGGGATAAATTTAAATTAAATTTTTTTTTTTTTTTTTTTTTTTTTTTTTTTTTTTTTTTTTTTTTAATTTTTTTTTTTTTTTTTTTTTTTTTTTTTTTTTTTTTTTTTTTTTTTTTTTTTTTTTTTTTTTTTTTTTTTTTTTTTTTTTTTTTTTTTTTTTTTTTTCAAATTTTTTTTTTTTTAATTTTTTTTTTTTAAAGAGATGGGTTTAAAAAATAAAATTTTTTTTTTTAAAATCCTATTAGTTCAAAATTATTAAAAAAAAATGGAAAATTTCTCTCCTTTTTACCCACCACCATAATCATGTTGAGGATCTCAAACTCATCAGATGGCCAGGAGCCGCCGCAGAAAAATCCGCCCAGTCGGTGGACGGCGCTCATTGCGAAGAGCACCAGTCCCTGGATGAAAACAGAGGCCTCGCCATAAGTGAAGGATCCCCCGAAGCCACGCAGAGTGTAAATATAGATTTGCTGATACGAGGAGGTCAGTAGGAATCCAACTAGTACAGCGAAGATAATAGAGGTGTCCACTAGGAGATAGAAGGTCAGACTGGTGACCACTCCGGGCAGCAGGCTCACCAGGCATTTAACCAAGATGCCCGTCTTCACGAAGGCGTAGATGAAGAAGCAGAGGGTCTCCAGGGCCATGCCGCCGGCAGAAACGGTGAGGATCGACTGCATCCTGGCCTGATCCTTGCATTTTGGCGGGGCGTGCAACAGGCGGACGCCCAAGGCCAGCGGAAGCAGCAGACATAACCAGCCGCCGGGTCCGGCATTGGGTCTGGAAAAGGGTCAGATAAGATTTACGGGCTGTAGCGATAAGGCGGAACTTTGGACCCTCCTTCTAAACTTGACTCACCTGGGCGACATGGCCTTCAGGCTGAAAACATCCGGGCGCCTGGTGCTCCGTCGCTGGTGGCGCACACCTCCCAGTCCACTGGACTGACTGTCCGTGGAACCGATGGAGTCCGATTCCGAGTGCTCAGTGTCCGATTCTGGGCTCCGCATCATCAGGTGGCTCAGAACATGACTTGGGCGAAATCGCAAATGTTTTGTGTATCCGCAAATGGGTCAAGGTGGGGAGAAAACCCCACGCTTTTCCTGCACTCTTCGGGAAATTGATGGTGTTTTGGATGCACTGGACCAGCTGGTCGTGGGCTGTTGTTGTTGTTGGAAAACTGTTGATTCGGGTTTGGAATGCACTACCGGATTTAACGGCGTCCCCGTGAGTGGTCACACTAATCACGAGGAACGGTGTGCCCAGACTCGATTGGAGATTGGATATGCAGTTTGGCGGGAAAAAACATAAAATTTAAAGCTATCTGGCAAAAACCCACCATAATACGGTAAATATAAAAATATCCAATGTTTTCATTTCTTGTATTTATATTGTAAAACCAAACCTCATACAAATTGCATTTAGCATAAATAACATTAAGAAAATCTTGAACTACTGGGGGGATACTTCTCAGCTTCTTAAAGCAGTCCAAACAAGTAATAGAGAACGGGCAGGACGAGAGCCGCCTTAGCGGTCGAAATTCCGGTAATGCAAACAATCAGCTTGAAGACTCCATACCAAAAACCGAGCTGCAGGGCAACATGAAGACCCAGGAGACTGAAAAGGGAAGGATTAGTACTTAATTAAAACGTAATATTTATTACCCACATTTTATCCTTGCGACGCGCCTTCTCCAGGTTCTTAGGGGGCTCCTTGCTGAGATACTGACGAACTCCGAGAATCGTGTTGGCAAAGTATTCATCCCACGTCAGCTCACCGATGTCAATGAAGAACTTTTTCTTGTCCACCAGATTCAAAGTCTTTGAAAGGGCTAATAGACGACTGCTGTCAAAGTGCCACTCGGTGAAGATGAACTTTTCCAGAGTATTCAGTGAGTTCCAAACGTTCTTGTGCAGACGAACCAATCTGAAAATAGATGGTAATATTTTAGGACATATTATTATATTTACTAAATATATATATCGACACTCACATCGGCCTACCGCCTCCAATCTTGGTGACCAGATCCAGAATAACAGCGGGAGTGAAGTGGAACAGAATGGCGCTCAGCCGGAAGACCCAGAGGCTCTTGACCAGACGCAGGTTGGGATACCAGACGGCACTGTTCAGCGGATAGTCGTGCAGGTAGCCGTTGATCTTGTCGGCCATCAGCTCGAACCGGAAGGGCTTGTATGTACTAGAAGTCAGGTGGAAGATTTGCAGATCGGCTGGACGGCCTCCGTTTTTCGCCTGCAGCGAGTTCACATAGTAGCCGGTGGTTATTATGCCATTGACCACCACATCGATGGGTATGTAGTCCATGATAATGCTGGGATCCAGGGGAAGACGACGCAGGACGCCCTTGGAGGCGCCCATGAAGAAGCCCTGGGGTCCGTTCTTTGAAATGGTCCATCCGGGAAGTGGTTCCTTCCAAGCAGCGGTGACTTAAGAAGGATAAAGGTGAGTTTTAGTTTGCAAAAGCTTGAGAAACCTCTATTGAATACTCACTCATGCTGGGACGGACGATGCCGCAGGGGAATTTACTGGCCACATTGGCCACCTCGTGCTCCGCCAAATGCTTGGTGAAGGTGTAGGTATTGGGATGATCCTTCAGAAGTCTGCAGGAGAATTAATTATTATATACACAGTTAATTTTAATTTAATCAAGGGCACCCACTTTGGTTCCAGTTCCTTGAGGGCCTCATCGTTGAGGGTCTCCGACAGCTGGATGATCTTCTCGGGATCTTCGGGCGAGGGATACAGCTTCTCCTCGACCTTGGTCAGATAGGCATTCACGTAGGCACTGGACACGTGCACCAAGGAATCCAGTTTCTTTAGCTGTTGGCACAGCTCCACCACTCGCCTGGTGCCCCGCAGATTGATGTTGGTGGTCTCCTTCAGAGACTGGAAGAAGTCCAGGGTGGCGGCCGAGTGGAAGACCACGTTCACGTTGTCAATCAGGAGCTGACGATCCGCGGGCGAGATGCCCAGATTCTCCAGACCCACATCGCCCTCGATGGGAACTATCTTGGCGAGACGCGGCTCCAGCTGCAGCTCCTTGAACTTGTCGAACACGGAGTTCTTCTTCAGCTCCTCCAGGCGCTCCTTCACATTCTTGCCCTTCTTGGCCCGCATCAGCAGGTACAGTGTGCCCACGTTGGGAACGTCCCGCAGCAGTTTCTCCACAATGGTGACGCCCACGAAGCCAGTGGCTCCCGTGATGAACACATTGCGACCCGCATAGAAGTCTGTGATGGGCGAGCTGAAATATTAGGAGTTTTTCAATCAGTTGACCGCCTTGTATTGTGTTTATATAACTAATTCGACTATATTTACGAACGTCATAAAAGATGAACCGAACTTTCTCTCATCGCCCATTCAAATGGCCCAATGGAGCCAGCATTTGCTTACGACACTCGTTCACCCGTAAAAACCTTCGAGGGAGGGCATCTTAACTGCTCTTCTGGCTGAAAACCCGTTTTACCCACTGGGTTCCGAGTTCTAAGTGCCCATTGTATGTCCTCTAATATTGATATAACTAATGATTGGTTAGCAGGTGTCGACTGGCGGGTCAATGCTGGAATTCAAAACCATCTTGTGGGTGTCTCTCGTTTCTTAGGTACTTTGGAACGGGCATTCGACTGAAAAATGGTTTTGCGTTTATGCAACCTGATCAAATATATGCTTTGATTTGGGTTCCGATGCTTTTTAAGATACGGGAAAAAAAATAAAAATTATAAATTTATCTTCAAATACCAGAAAGGTTTTTCCTAAGCCATTTCTTAAATTCTTCAAACTTTCAGTAGCTCTATTAAGGTCTTTCGGCTTGAAAAACCCCATTTCCAATTTACTAGCAAAATAATTTCCCAACCGTTTCGATCGAATTACCAAACATATTGGGGCTCCAGCAAACACGCAACGTGATCATTCAATTAGCCAAGTCTGGCGCATTTCTCTTTTAATGACCTCCATCACAGTTCGCTGTCTCCGCTTTTTTGTTATGCCAAATGATTTTATAATAACGATCATTGAAGATGATTTCTGTGTTTCTTGCCCCCCTCTAACGATGCGTGATATAATTTCTGCATAACAAATGACATTTTGATGACGGCGAATGTGTTGCATTTAACTTTCCCATGTATGAATATGCAAAGGGTGAATGCAAATTTTATTTTGAGCAATTAAAGGAGGCCCTCGAGATTGCGCAGACCCATCGCAAATAAATTGAGTGCAGTTGAAGCCTTTGCAGGTGCTCATATTTACACACCCGAAAAGGCAAGTCATCGTTTGGGCCAGGCTCACAGTTCAAGAGCTCGTTGGTAAGCCAAATTGAGCTTTCACTTTGTGGTCCGTAGATTTGAAGGAGAGGAGAGGCGAAAACGGAAGGGATTGGGGTGACCCAATCAAGACAAATGGCTAATAACTCATCGAGCAGATTTGCTTAATTTAAAACGTTTTGCTTTCAGGTTTCCGTATTACTCGTTTCTTTGGTCAACTTTTTTCGCTGTTGCAAATTAACTTTCTTATCAGTCCAAATCAACTTCTGAGATTAGATTTTCTAGTTGGTCAGTTTGGGTTGGCTTATCTGGGGTAATTAAGTGGAGCGATTTATGGTGGCAATGCTACTTGAAATTTGTTTGAAATTAGTTTTTGGTTTAGAAAATTGGAGGCCATTGAATAGCTTTCAGCGAAAAACTTCTGCTAAGAAAGAGGAAATACATACAAAATATAGTAATGTATTTTTGAAACCCGACATAGTACACTCAATGCCTTGCATAATTCAGTATCATTTGCAACAGTTTACCGCATTCCTTAACGACTGGCGTTAAGAACCCCCATATCATTAGCTTGCACATAAACTTAACTGCTTGCCCACCGCGGCAATTAAGCCGCCACTCGACTTTAAGTAACTGACCCTACCAACTGCAATCAACCTTGTGTTGGCTCATAAATCTCTTGGCATTTTATGATTAATGCTCGTCCCGAAAATGTTTAGCAGCCTGTCAGGATGCGATGGCTACAATATGTAATAATCTTGTTTCCCTTCGGTTCCTTTTGATTTAATAACCTGTAATTTTCCGCTTGACTTCCTGCCTACGAACCACTGAACCATTGACGTCATATTGCTGAAAGGGGACTCTCGATTTTAAGGAGAGGGGCATCCAGCAGGTCAAAGCTTGAGTGTGAAAACTGGAATGCCCAGCCCTATTTGCATCTCTATAGCTTTTCTATCAACCTTTTTCATCACTGCACAGATACATTCAACAGGTTGATGAAAATTTTCCATTGTTCTCTAATGCAGGTTACTCTGAGGTGATAGGTTCTCATTGGAGAAAGAAAGTGTCCGTCTAAATGACCCACTGCCAGTTCGTAATAAAGTAGAATTAGTCGCCAACGCAAGTGTTAATTATATTAACGTCTGACCTCAATAACATGAACTATTAATCTTTACTAAAATAAAAATACTAAAATTAAAAGTAAGTTTATGAATCTTAATGATGGAATTAGCTTAATGGTTCGAGGCAATCCGAAATGGAAAAGGTTGTCCTATTGAATTTTGAACTATGTATATGACTTGACGGAGTGCATCTTTGTGTGTACCTATAAATAATTTTACTTCCCAACCCAGTTACTGAATCGCTTGAAATAGTGACTTATTTCGAATGTAGATATGTGGCTGAAAATGATTTGTATCTTCAGCCTAAGAAGATACTCTTCACATTCAGATATTTATCCCACTTCGAACTTTGCACTGTCTTTCTAACCTCACAAAAGGCGCTCGAAAGCGGGGAAAAGAGAAAAAAACAGGTCGAAAGTTGTCAAACGTGCTACCAAAATTAAATTCAACAGAAAATGACCAGAAACCGTTGTTTAGAGCCAAATTCGGTAAGACTTACCTGGCCATGGTTTCTCAGCAGGTGTGGTAATTGCCAATAATAATGCCAGTTGCAGTCTATCCGCTCGTACCGATTATTTATTTAATACTAAAACTCGGCTTAGAACGACGAAATTTCTCTTTTCCACGTATTTCTCTTCTTTTTATCGGCCTCCTCTTTTTATTTATTCCGTCTTTCTATCTTTTACTCCACTGTTTTAATTGTTGTTGCGATGCGACTGTAAACAAAGTACCAACACCAGTGCCACTGGACGTGTGTGTGCTGCGGTGTGT